AAATTTTTTTTCAAAATAAATTAATTAAAGAAAATGTTGAAGAAAATGAAATAAATAAATAAATTTAAAGAGAAATAAAAATAAATAAATTCTTTTTATAAAAATAATTTTTTTAATTTAAACTCGAATTTCACTTATACGACAGCCATCGTGCAGAAAAATCGTACAGAGAATTCCGTATAAATGAGGTCTAACTATGTTTATAGAAAACTAATTATGGGATAATGAAGGAAATAATGCATAATTAAATTGAGAACAAACTTTTAAAATTCGAATAATTTGTTTATTTTCTCTCTTTTTTTTATTTTCTACATATTTTGACGGCCGGTATTTCCTTAATTATTTTTAAAATTTTTATCTCTTAATCTAATTAATTATTAATTTCACTTCCATTTGTTTATTTAAACAATATGAGGGAAACTGAAGAGAGAAAAGGTTGATTTGCTTAAAAATTTAGAGAAAATTAATTTAAAAAAATATTGAAGTTATTACATACCGGACTTGTAATTGTTAAGTGCTGAAAAATCGTACATAAAATAAAGGGATATTATCTTTTCTAAATTATCAAAAATAAATTATTGTAAAGTAAAATACGCATCAATCATTGATAATTTACCAAAAATTTGGAGGTGGCTAGGTTTTTTGTGACGGACTACATCATTTAAATAGCTTTATCAAGCTACTTGCTTCTAAATTGGCTTCCATTTACCGTCGTCACTAATATGTACTATGAATAAGAATCTCCAAAGAAGCACTAGTACAACTTGAAACAATTAGAGAAATTTCTTCCAAATTTAGTTTATTGTTGACAGGTCTAATTTTTAATCATTCTCACAACGTTTTAAGTTTGCCAAAATACTTTTGTTAAAATATTTTCGCGAACTAAATTAGCCTTTCGTCTTTTATTTTTTGTCCATTCATTGTAGTATATTCAATAAAAATATAGCTGTGTTATTTTTACTAATAAAATCAGAGCAAAACTAATCTACTACTGTCTATTTTTATATTTTTGCCGTTTTATGCATTAAATTTTATTCAAGCGTAACACGCCAATCAGAAAATCTTCTCTTCTTTGGAATTCAGAAAAATAATTTTTAATTCCTTTTTTTATAATTCTTCTCTTCTCCCTCAAACAATACAGTAAAATATTTTTTTAAATCTTCCGAAATTCTTTAATAAAAAATATAGTAATTATTTATTTATTAAATTCAAAAAATGGAAAGGATTTTTTTATTTATTGTCTGAAAATATTTTCCTGAATTTCTTTTAAAAGAGGGTTGGAAGGGCAAAAGGGAATTTTGAATAAAGAGAATAAAGACAAAAATATTTTTGATAAGTGTTTATGCAGGCGCTAAACAGAAAGAAGATGTGTGTGTGTGGATAATAAAAAGTGATTAGTAGGTAACGGAAGAGAAATTACAAAATAATTCTTTTCTTTTCTCTAATACTCTTTTAATATTTTTAGTAAAATAAAGGAATTATTTTCTATTTTTATTTTTGATTATTATCCCCTCCCTTCCCCCCCCTATCTTCCTCTCCCTCTACCCACCTGTTTTATTGTTGAATTAAAGAAAAAACCGGAAGAGCGTGTCGTTGAAATGACATTGAATGAGAAAAGGAAGAAATAAATAATTGAGAGTGTATTGTTCAAAAAAATAATAAAATGAACGGGGCTGTAATTTGTGGTATGCGCGAATTTATTCTTCTACAGTTTATTAAAAAAGCTGACCGCTAATCAGATTTAATAATTATTTTTGTGTTGTTACTATAAGGGCGCCAGCAGGTTTGCGGTAAATAATAAATAATTGGAGAGGGGCTACTAAACAAATGATGGTGGAATTTATTTGCCGAAATAAAAAAAGAAAAATAAATTTAGGGGTTTTTGTTGGTTGGTTAATTATGGGGAAATATTTTTTGTTAAAATTAAATTAATTTTTAATTAAATGAATGCTTAAAGACAGTACTGAAAACAGAAGGAAATTGTTTTCTTTTTCAAAAATTAGGTAGAAATTTATAATAATATTGGATTAATTAATAAAGTTTATATAGTTAATATTTTTAAATTATTTATATTTTTAAAATATCAATATAAAAATATATTTTTAATAAAAATATGTATATAATAAATAATTTAAATATTTATTCGTCAAAAGTCTTCTCTATTTTTAATTATTTTTAATGTAATCCATCCTTAAACTTTATAAAATTTTCTTCAAAATAATTACCAAAATTTTTTGACATTATCCCCTTAAATAAACAATGAAGGGAAAAAGATGATTGATTAATTTAGAAGCATCTGTTTAGAAAAATAAAAAATAAATTCTTTACTTTTTTAAGAACTTTTTTTTAAATTTATTTTTTTATTCTCATTTTTCCCGCTTCTTCAACTTAATATGTATCAATTGTTTATTTATTGTTTATATTTATCTTCCATCCATCCATCTTTTATGTCCGTAATTGGAGATTCACTTAAAATATACATCCTAACCTGTCTTTTTATTTGTCCAAGTCTTCCAAAAAAATAAATGAATAACTTGGCCACCTTGTTTATTTGTTTGTTTTTATTAAAAGGAGAGTGAATAGGTTAAACTCTTCTATTTATATTTTCTCTTTTTATTTTCCTTGGATCGACCCTAAATAATTCTTCGCCCCCCTTTTTTCAACTCTTGAATGGCCATCATCATTTGTTGCGCACCTGGACCAATAACCATTTGGCCCCTCTTTTTTTCTCTTTTTGCCTTACCAAACCTTCCAAAATCCTCGAAAATGTTCCACTACTAAAATTAATTCACGCTTTTCATTCTCCCGAAAAGCTTTTCTTCTTTCCTTTCATTAATTGTAGATAGGCGGTATTTTATTTTTTATCTTTTCTTCTTCTAATGACCGGGCAACTGTTTGTGTGTCCTCATTTTTGGAGGGAAAGGCATGGAGAATAAAAAAAGGATTTTGGCATTCATTTATTTTATAGTCCAATTCTTTTCAATTTTTTTCCTAAGGCGGCAAATCCCACAATTGCTGAACATCCACAAAAAAAATAAAATTCTTTTGAAGAAAATAATTTTCTTCTTTTTAATTATTTCACACAAATCATTTTATTTTTTTAAAAATTCTTTATTTTTCATTTTTTATGTGCCAGTCATTCAATCTTCTTTTTTTAATAGAAAATATACATATAAACAGTATTAATTCCCCCTATCTAGTAGTCGCATTCACTTCAATTTAATGTAAATCTTCTCTTTCTCTTCTTTTTTACAACTATATACAATTTATGAAATTGCTCCCTCGAGAATTTTTGGATGCTCAGAGGGCTCAGCCGGAGAGATTGGTAACCAACCTCAATTAGGCAGTCGGCACCTATTGACGTAATTTATTTAAATATTCAACAGTTTTGGTTGGTAATGATGGAAAAAATAAATATTTTTATTAAAAAAATAAAAAGAATTTTTTAAATAAATGGAAAATAAATAGAAAATATAAATATTAAAATTATTTTAATTAATAACAATAATGATGAGGTCGATAAATTAAAAAAAAATATTGGAGAGCTGTAAATATGTATATAATTTTTTTAAATTGAAAAAAGAAATATAATTTTTTTATTAAAAATTAAATAATTTATCTTTATTTAAACAAAAAAAAGTTTTATTTTAAAGAAAACTCCGCCTCTTTTCTTTCTCTCTTTCCATCTTCAACCACTCCTTATTCCCTCTCTTCTTTCTACTGTATTTACCTTCTTTTCTTTTCTTCAGTTATTTCTTTTCCTCCGCCTTCCCCCTCTTCTTCCCTCTTCAACTAAATTTATTTATTTACTCCTTTCCTTGCTTTCATTCGCTCGTATTTCGTCTTTTCATGTGCTCCTCCTTCTAAAATAATTCTTCTTTTTTTTCTCTTAAATTCTTTTAAACAATCTTTTCATTCAATTACAGCTTTTTAATTTTTTTCTTTTTTTATTTAGCTAAAAATTTATTTTAGAATTTTCTTTTATTGAAATTTTGTTTAATTTAATTAAAAAATTAAATTATTTAATTTAATTTCAAGCATTAATTATCCAAATAAATTTAAATATTTTAATTTTTAACTAATTGAATTTTGAAAAGAAAGTTTTTCAAACTCCTTGATAAACAAAATTCGGATTAAGTATTTTAGTTATTTCTAAATTTCTCTAAATTTTAATTTTTATTTATTTTCTTATCTATTTTTCTTTTTTTTTATTTAAATTTTTTACATTCCACAAAAAAAACTTTATTTTTCTCCTTCCTTCCTTCTAAATCTATTTCTACAATCTTTTAAATATTTACTTTAAATATTCCAATCATTTTTTCTTCATTTCCCCATCTCAATGTTGATCATTAAATAATGAACATGGCCACACAAGTTGAATATAAAATGATGATGATGTGGAGGAATTAATTAATTTACTAGATTTAATATATACAAATATTTTTTCTTCATTTATTTAGTTGTTTTTCTTTTGCTTTTTTTGCTTAGATTTTTCTTTTACTTAAAATAATATTAAAATAAGCAGTTAGGTATTTGAAAAAAAATATTAAAATTAAAATAATGAATAAGTAAATTATTTAAAAAGAGAATATAAATTATTAAATTATTATTATTTCTTCTCCCTTTTCTCAATTAGATAAAGTACATTTTAATTAAAAAAATAATTAAATTAAAATAAATATTTAAATATTATTTATTTTTACTCTCTTTTAAGCATTATATCCTTCATTGACCTCTTCCCGATTTTCTCTTATTTTATAAATTTATTCCACCTTGTCAATCCCTCTATCAATTTCTTTAGTATATATTTGTTCACCTTTTCTTTAAATTTCTCTAAATATTTTTTTTATTTTAATTTCTTTCCGATTACTTTGAGTTTTTAAAAAATTATTTTTAAATAATTTTTATTTTATTTTTCCCCCTTTCTCTCTCTCTACTTAATTCAAATAAATTTACATAATCTTATAAATATATTTTATTAAAGATTTAAAAAAAAAGTAATGATTATAATGTCTTCTTCCACCTCCACTTCCACCTCTTCTTATTCTCCTTCAATAAATGCCCCTCCAAACTCTTCCCCACCTTCCCCCTCTTCTCCTCCAAATTCTCCCCCATCTTCTCCAACAATTAGTAATTCGGAAATAAAAAATACAAAAAAACTTTTTTCAAAAAAATTTGTTGGACAAGAAAATTGTTTTGAAACAATTGCTAGATTGGCAGGAATTGATGATCAAGAAGAAGTAGAAGAGGAAGAGGAAATAAATAAAAAAGAAATAAAAGAGGAATTAAAAGAAATAACGGAAATAAATGATTTAATAAACAATGAAGATGTTGATAATGAGGACAAAAAAGACAAAAAATTAAATGAAATGGTTAATCTTAATTTAAAAAATCAAAAAAATGTATATTTTAGAATTATACAAATAATAAAAATAAAAAAGAAATACCAATTAATTCACAATCATGTAACAATTTATTTTCTTCATCCTCACGCCGGAAGAATGGAAACCCAACAAGAATGATTGATGAAATTATTTTAAAAAATTTGAGAAGGAAAAGGAATTTAGAAGAAGAAAAAGAAGAAGAGGATGAGGAAAAAGAAGAAAATAAAGATGAAGAAGAGGAAGAGGATGAAGATAATAATAAAGTAAATATTTAAATTAAAAATTCATAAAAATTAAAAAAATTTTTTTTTCAAGTCAGGAAACGAAAGAGATATACCAGTTGCAGACTCAAATGAGAACAAAATTCAGGGAGAAATTTTAGGCCAAAATAATAATAGTAGCAATGAATGCCCGCCCCCATTACCATTTGAGGGACTCTTTTCACCTTCCTATGCCACTGATATAAACAGAACAGAGGAAATGCCTTTTGGAGAGGAAGGGGTGGAGCAACAACAACGGAAACAATTTTATACACAATTAATTCAACAATATGGGAATAATAATCAAATATTTGATATCCAACGTAAAATGGCCAATTATTTAAAGGAAGATTTGAATGGAATAATTTGTTCTGGGGCTATTGATAAGGTTGTTGTGGAAGAGGGGAATTAGTATATATTCTCTGATTTTTAAATAATTTTAAAAGAAAATTTGTAACAATCTTCTTTTAGGTCTTAACTGACATTTCTTCACAAGAATTACACAACAACAATACACAAACTAGTCGTTTTCTTGCAGCATTACAACAAAATGTTCGTCAACAACAATTTGGACTTTTTGGGAATAATATCCGTACTTTAACAACTTCAATACCTTCTTTTATTCCCCATTCTTCAATGCCTTTATCAACATCTTCCCGTATTTTTTCTTCATCAATGCCTTCCTCTTCTTCATCTATTTCATTAATTAATTCCAATATTTCCCCTTCATCAACAGTTAATCCCTTTCAGGCTTTTCTAGCAATTACCCAAAATCCATTAATTGCCACAGCAATGGCTGCTGCAGCAGCGGCAGCTTCTTTTGCCCAACAACAACAACAATCACAAATTTCGGCTCAAAATTCTAATAATAATAATCAAAATGGAATATTTCCTTCATCGTTAACAGTTACAGAAACAAATAAAAAATTAAATTTTTCACAGCCTCGTCCAACAATTAATTTACAAAGATTTCAACAAAATAATGAGTAATTAATATGGAGTAATTAAATTTTTTTTATTTATTTTTAGTGGAAGCCCTAGAAAGAAAAGACAAAAAGTAACAGATTCTGTTCGGGGCCCCCGTTCTAATTTACACTGTCGAGAACCTTCAAATAATTACAATTCAACTTGTGAACGTTTAACTCCAAATGGAGGATTTGTTATGCCTACAATGGTTCCCCAACAACGAGTTTTTTGTTCCCCCGACAGAAATTTAGGTGATAGTCCATCAGGTGATGATTCTGGAGGAGACAATAACAATTATATAGCAAATAATGATTTAAATAAGTAGGTCCTGTAAATAAATTCTGTTTAAAATTAATTTAAAGAATTCTACAATTAAATCATGTCCATTTACGTAAAGCTAAATTAATGTTTTTTTATCAACGATATCCAAGTAGTTCTGTTCTTAAAAGTTATTTCCCAGATGTTCAATTTAATAAACACAATACTGCACAGGTAATTTTTGTAAGAAAAAATAAATTTATATTTATTTTTTTACTTTTTTAAAGCTTGTCAAATGGTTTTCGAACTTTAGGTATTTTTATATATTTTTATCAAAAAAATTTTGTTAAGTAAAGAAAAGGAAAAAATGTATTAAATTACTGTAATAAATAGTTGAAGAGAAATAAAAAGAAAAAAATGAGTGGCACTGAATTTCACAGGAAGGGGATTAAAAAAATTGAGAGAGAAGAGAGAATTAAATAAAGTAGTTAGTAGTAAATAGAAAAATAAGGAAAATGTAGAAAAAAGATCCGCTGAATATTATAATATTTTTGTTGTGACAATATTTTGAAATGATCAAGAGGAGAGGAAGTTGTTGAATTGTTGAAATAGGGGAGAGGAAATATTTAATTTAAATAATTAAAATATATAAGAGGATTTAATGTTCAGAAAATTCCTCTGATTTAATAAGAAAAACTATTAAAAATAGTTACAATTGGATCTCAATTATACGAAACCTTTTGTGCAAAAAATTATGTTAAAGTGAATTTATCGTAAAAGCGAGGTTTAACTGTAATATAAGAATTATATTTAGGGAAATTATAGAAAAACTAACAAAGAATTTTAAGAAAGGAGTGATTTTTTAATTTTATTTATATGTATACAATCTACATAGCCTCTCTAATATAGCGCTTCCCACTTTGCTATCTAAACTTGGTCCCAAAAGCTGATATTATAGAGATTCCAATAAATTTAAAAAATTAATTAAATTTAAACAGAGAATTTTATTATATGCAAATGGAAAAGTTTGCCAAACAAGCACTAGCAGAAGGGGTTAATCATCAAGAAGAGGTTTACCTATTTTATTATACTTTTAATATTCCAAAATATATTTAGCTAATTGTAACAACAGAATCAGAAATATTTAAACAACTTAATCAACATTATAATAAAAATAATGTTTTTGAGGTAATTTAAATAAAAAATAAATATATTTTTGAATTTATATAATTAAATAAATAAATTAAAGTTTTGGTGGGACATTAAGCATCTTTTAGACTTTTTTTACAAATCCAGTCATTTTTTAAGATTCAAGGAAATAATAAATTTTCTGTAACTTTTTTCTGATCTTATATTACCAGATAAAATATTTTGCTATAGATAACTAAACGGAATAACTAAAAAGGCACAAATAAGATAGAGGATTAGTAGTTTTTGTACTAATAGAGGATTAGTAGCCTACCTAATTAGTAGTTTTTGTTAAAAAAATTTAAATAAATTTTTAGCCTCCAGAAAGATTACTTTTTGTTGTTCAAGAAACTTTAAGAGAATTTTTTTCTGCTTTACAACAACAAAAGGATTTAGAACCTTCTTGGAAAAAATCAATCTATAAAATAATTCAACAATTAGACGAACCAATTCCCGATTATTTTCGTGATTTTCAATTTGTTGAAATGCTTGAAAATGCCCCATGATTATGTTTAGTTATTTTGAGAAATGAAAATTAATAATTAAATATTAAATTTTTTTAATTAAAATTAATTATGTGCAGCATGTTTTTAATTGTGAATTTATTTTAAAATCGTCATTAAAATATTTTAATTTTTTATATAAAAATTTGTTTATTTCTAATTTAACAATGAACAAAAATTTTTGAATGCAATTTAAACAATTAAGTTTTTCTAGCAACTAATTAAAGTTAGAGAAATTTAATTAACCTAAGCAAAATCCTACCATTTTGCTTTTTACATACAAATTAGATTTACTAGATATGCGATAAGAATGATTCTTTAAATGGTAGCAAAATATGTACACAAAATTCTCTTATTTCTAAACTTTTCCCAAATAAAATTAATTTTTTAATCTCTAAAATTTCACTTTTCCTTACAAATATATTCAGTAATTCTTAAAAAAAATATGTATTAGATATCCATTCCCTCCTCACTTATTATTTTTGAAGTAAGCACCACTTTTCTTCCTCGGACTTCTTATGATTAATGGGAGAAAAAAAGGATTTTATATTAAAAAAATATATAATTGTGCTTGACCACAAGCCTTTCCTTTAATTTTTCTTTTCGCCCTCCGGCGCCTTTTCCCTCAATTTTTGTCCACTTTAAAGAATTTTTATTTTCCAATAGAGTTGTTTTCTACTTCTTTCTTAGACTTCCGCGCACACACACGTTCCTCCAAATTAATTCCTTTTTTTTCTTCACACACACACACTCAACTAAAAATATATATTTTTATCCCAAATGATTTTCTTTAATTTTTAAAAAAAGTTTGTGTTGATTTGTTGTGTTGCTTTTAACTTATTTTTAATTAAAAAATGTTATTATTATTTAAAATTTTAATAATTATTTTTTATTTAAATTCAACATTTGCATTAATTAATAAAAGAACTAAATGTGCTGTTGAATGTTATAAAAAATGTTCAGAATCTGGAACTCCCCAATCTGTTTATTGTAATTGTCCTTTTACAGAAAATGATAATTGTGATGATGAAAATATTAATGAAGAATTATTTAAAGAAAAAACTGTTGAAAATTTAATTGAATTTAAAAGTGGATATACAAATATTAGAATTATTTGGATAAATGTAAATCCAATTCCAAATGCTTTTATTTATATTTTTGAAATTTCTTTTCAAAGTATTTCTATTCCTGTTTGGATTTTTGCTGTAAATTTTAATTGAAAAATTTTTAATTAAATAATTAATTAATTAAAGGGTGCTTCTTCTTCTCCAAAAATTAATTTTTCAATACCGGATGCTTGTAGAGATTACCAATTTCGTTTAATTACTGTTTTACGTTCTACAAATCCTAAAATGAATTTAATTGTTTTTAGAGGACAAAAAATACCTGTTGAATTTCCTCCTTTTGTTGTGGCTGAGGAAAATGTTATTTTTTATTTTAAAAAATTAAATTTAAAAAATTAAATTTTTTATTTTAAAAAATTAAAAAATATTTTTAATGAAAATTTAATGATTTTTTAAACAGCTAATTTAAATTTTTAAAATTGGTAATCCTAATACATATATTTATTTATATATTCTAAAGATTCATCTGGATCGTCCAAAACAGTCAAATGACGGACAAACATTACATTCTTCAGTTAGTTGGCAACATCCATCCGGTTATGAAGATACGGATATTTATGGTTATTCCCCACCTACAGCTTACCCAATTAGTTGTCAAACACCTGAAGAAAAATTAAGTCAACCAAGATTAGAATTAATACAAGGAGGGGCTCGTTTACATTTTGCATTACCAATTGATGCTTTAAATGATAAATGTAAAATATATATGGAAATTAAAATGTTACCAAGGCAAATTAAATTTAATTAAAAGAATAATTAATTAATTAAATTATATTTTAATTAAAGATGTGTTAGAATTAAACCATTTGATATCCAAATATCAACAGAAATTGACTGCCAAAAATTTCCTAATTTACAATATTGCAAGAAAGGTAATAAAAAAAATTATTTTTTAATTATTTTTAAATATTAGAAGACGGCCCTCAATGTACTGAAGTTGTTGATTTGTGGGGAAGAAATGATGGAAGGGCTACAGTTGTATGGCAAAAACCAAATGCCGTCAAAAATACTTATCCAACTTATTATATTGTTAATTGGGGGCCAACACAAAATTCTGTATTAATTTTATATTTTTCCTAAAGAAATTTATTTATTTTGCAAAAGGGTTCTTCTCCTCTAAATCGAAAAATAATTAATGGTCAACATATTAAAGTTCCCGGAAATATAACAAAAATAGAATTAACCCCTCAATGGGGTATTCAATATGGACTACAAATTTGTGCTTTTTATGAAGAAAAGGAAGAAGAAAATAATTTACAAATAAATCCATTTAATATTTCCCCAATAATTCCATTTTATTGTAATCCCTGTGCTGCACCCGAATTAAAATCTAATGAAAATAATAATCAAGAAAGATGTATTGAATGTACAAAAATTGAACAAAGACAAGTTTTTTATTTTAAATAATTTTTTTAAAAAACTGATTTAAAGAGCCCTTCTAAAATATCTTCCCCTCCAAATTACTCTTCTTCTGTTGATTGTGTAGGGCCAGTATGTGCTTCTTCTAATTATACATCTACACATTTTATTTCTTCTGGAATTGTGTAAATATTGAAATTAAAAATAATTATTTAAATTAATTTTAAAGTTCAATGGATATTTTTGGTTCTAATATTAATTTAAATTTTACTGAAAAGGAGAAGAATGAAACAGAAAATATTAAAGAAATAAATGAAGAAAAAGAAGAAGATAAACAAAATTTTGAACAAAATAATTGGAAAGAAAAAGAAAAACAATTATTAAGACAATTACATTCAAAAACAGTTTATTTAAAAATATTTATTTTAAAATTCCCTTTTAAGTTACCAAGAAACCCAATTTCTTTAAATAAAGAAGAAAATGAAGAAGAGGAATTATTGTTAAGTGAAAATGTTGAATTATTTGTTGAAACAACAACAACAAAAATTGAAGAAGAAGTTGAAGAAACAACAACAACACCACAAACAACAACAACAACAACCCTAACAGAATTACCAACAATTATTGAAGAAATAAATAAAACAACTACAAAACAAATATTTGAAACAACAAATAAATTGGAAGAAAAAATAAATAAAAATAATTTAATTGTTGATAATAATGTTACAATAAGTAATAATAATTTGATAAAAGAGGAAAACAATGAAATAAAAATAAATAAAGATAAATTAACAACAAATAAAAATGTATTTTTAATTAAGTTAAAAAATTAATTAATTATTTATTTTTTAAATAGATATCTAGTAGTAATACAAACTTGGATTTGTCAAATAATTCTTCTTTTTTACCTCAAAATTTAAAAATAAAAACAACAACTAAAAAATCAGTATATTCTTTTACTTCTACCGAAAAAACAAAAGAAGGTGCAACAGAATTATTAAAAGAAATAAATAAAGAAGGAAGAGGAGGAGGGGGAGGAGGAAGTGCTCGTTCTCCTTTAGATCCAAAAAAATTAATTCTGGCTGGGCCTATTTTCTTTTTTCTTGGATTGGTTTGTAATAATAATTTTGTAATATTAAATTAATTTTTAATTAATTTAAAAAGAGTTTTGGATTAATTCTTTTATTTACTTTTTGTATTAATCGCCGACGTCAAAATGTTACTAGAGAGAATTTTCATCACCATAATAATCGTCGTCACCGCCATCCACTTCCAAATTTTAATACTTCCTTAACTCCTGTAATTAAACAACAACAAAAAACAAATAATATATTAATAAATAAAAAATACCCAACAAGTAGTGTATTAGCTACAAGAACAGCAATTAATTGTGGAGGAGGAGGAGGGGGTGGAGGTTGTGAAGGGGGAGGTGGTGGTGGAGGGGGTGGAATTAATAAAAATTCTGTTGGACAAATAATTCAACAAAATGTTTGTGTTAATTTTAAATTTATTTTTTTAAAATTTCTCTCTTCTTTAGCAACAAACAGGTAAAGAATATTCTTCTTGTTCTTGTGCATCTACTGCCTCAGCAATATCTTCATCTATTGTCACACCTACTGCTTCAACAAATATTTCTGTTTCTAATCAAAAACAACAACAACAACCATCATTGGCAACAATTGCCCACAAACCTAAAGTTATTTTTAGTTACCATATATACTGCATCAATTACCCTCTCTCAAAAAATAATTACCCCCTATAGGTTGAGATTGAGTAAAGCTAGTATAGCTAATTCTCTACTTGGCTGGTGCAAAAGGTTATGTGGCGGCTGGGGCTTATGGTTATCCACGCCGCCTACGCCTTAGGAATTAAATTAATAATTTGGAATTAATAATTAATTAAATTAAATAGCTATATGCTTTTCAATTCAAACAATTATTACCCAGAGTAATTAATAAAGTATATATGGTAAATTAAATTTAAAAATTAGAATTTTTATTTAGACAATTAAACAGCAAGAAGAGAATTATAATAATCAAAATTTTGCTGATAATACTTCACGTTTCTTTATGACATCAGCACCTTCTAGTGTTACAAATATAAATAATCAAAATAAAAATGTTCATTTTTGAATAAAAATTTTTAAATTAATTTTTAAATTAATTTTTAAAATTATTTAAATATTTCTTAAAAATAATCTTTTTGGGAAAAAAATGTTTTTTTTATTTAAAATTATTATTTATTTGATAAAAAATAAAAATAGAAATTTATTTTATTTTAATAAATACATACATATTTAGATAAGTAAATATTATAGGTATTATTTGTTTATTAATTTAAAAAGATAAGGATTTTGGAGAATAAATAAATACCTAAATGTTTTTAATTAAATAAATAATCAATTTAATTTATAAAAATTATTATTTTTTAAATAAATTATAAATAAAAAAACGTCAAAAGGTTTGTGAGAAAATAAAAAAAAAGTTTTTAACAAAACAAATGGTTTATCCTTCTTTTTTTTTACAATAAATAAATACCAAAATATAAATTCATTCTAAATTTACTCTTCACTTGCGCAACTAAAAAACAAAATTTTTTCCTCTTTCCTTTAAAGTCAATAAAAATTTTGTTTTTAATTTTTAACTATTTAGAACTAAATAAATAAATATTTTTTAATTTAATTTATTTTTTCTTAAAATTAAAATAATTAAATACGAAAACGAACGCCGCTTTTTATTAACAATGTGCTCAACATCATCACCAATAAATACTACTAGGTATTAAATACAAATAAATCATGTTATAACGGAAAAGTCAATCGTACGATCCCGATTGAATTATGTAAGGCTCCTAATTGTCGACCGTGTATTTATTAATTTAAATGAAAGGAAAAATTTTTTGGGGAAATTAAATTTATTTAATAAAAAGAATTATTTTAAAATGATAAATGGAAGTAAAGAGGATTTTTGGTTATATTTATGTACATATTAATCTTTTAAATTTTAGTTCAATTAAAGAAATATCAACTTCTTCAAAAAATCAAAATAAATTAATAAAAACAAATAACAATTCCCAATTAAAACAGAAATTTTCAAAATTTGTTAAAAGATTAATTCCTCCTTGTAATTATTGTAAACCTAAAAATAAAAAAAGACAACAAATTAAAAATAATAATATAGAGAAGAAAATGGAGGAAGAAGAAGAATTAAATAAAGAAATTAATTTAAATAAAAATGAAATAAAACCAAGTATTTCTTTTATTTTTTAAATTTAATTTTTTCTTTTAATTTTAAAAATTCCATTTACTTCCAATTTTGCTGCTGCTGCTCGTTTACAAGAACAAATGGGATTGGGGACTCCAAAGTTCCCCGTCCAGTGGGTATTGGGATCAGACCTGGGCGAAACTCCAAAATTTTTTCAGACGAAACGAAACGAAACAAAATTTTTTAAAAATCGTTTCGTTAACGAAACGAGACGAAACAGTAAAAATTTAGCGAAACGAAACGAAACAAAACGAAACATTTTAATTTTCAAAAAATTTAATGAAAACGGTTTTATTTTCTTAATTATTCGATTTTAGACACGTTATTAGGCCAGTTATGGCCTATAATTGATCTAATAGCTTAGTGGGACCTTAAATTGTGGTCCCAGGCTCGAATTATGTGTTGAGAATATGTGTATATCAGGGACCTGCCGACCCGTTTCCTGATTCCCTAAAATAGGGAATTAATTTTGTCGGAAATTACTATCGCCTAAACCCGTTCCTGATTCCCGTCATTTTTTTTAATTCTTTAAACCCTCCAAATCCACCGATATCCCGTTTACTCTCTCCCAATTTCCTATACCACCATTGCTCCCGCCAAATCCAATGATATTTCTCAACTCAGATTTTTTTATCGATAACAACGTTCATGATTAGGGTTGCCAAAATGGACCGACTCGGACCAAAATATCGAGTCGAGCCTAAGATATTTGGCCCGAAATTCTCGTACTGGCCCGACTCGATAGAAACAGGCCCGAAAAAAGCAACCATATTCATGATCATTGCCATCAGTTGCGTTTTCGTTTATTGAAACTAAACTTTATTGAAACTCTTGCGCCTGCCCTGATTGGCCTTAAGAGGTAGGTCGATTCTATATGCCTAATCTAGCATAGAATTCGATCTTTGCATATTAAAAAAACAAAATCAAACGAGAAATTCAAAAAAATATAGTAAATTATGCGCCGTAGGCGCTTAAAATCCAGATTTCAGCGCCGCAGGCAAAAATTTTTTGAATTTTGATCACCAAAGGGGAAAATTTTTCAGTTTTTGGGTAATATTTTGGTATAAAAAATGGGTAATGTTTCGTTAACGAAACAGAGGTGTTTCGTTAACAAAACGAAACGAAACAAACTAAAAAGTGTTTCGTCACGAAACGAGACGAAACAGGAAAAAACATAACGAAACTAACGAAACAACGAAACGAAACGAAACGTTTCGCCCACGTCTGATTGGGATCATCAGAATTAACTGAAGAAGAAAATTCTGATAAAAATAATTTTGTGTATATTAAAAATACTTTTGATAAAAAATTATTTTTCTTCCATGGAAAGGATGAAAATGAAAATAAAAGTTAAGTATTTTAAATAAATAAAAAGTTTATTTAAATTAAATAAATATTTTTTTTGACAAAGAATTTTCTCTTTTCGTCATTTTCTTTTACTCGTGATCGTTATTTTTTATTGTTTTTATACTAAAGAAAAGAAAATTTATATTAAAAATTCCTCACAAGAAAAATAAAAAAAATATACAAACTTTTAAATAATAATTTTAAATATTTATTTATTTAACAAAAAAATAATTATATACTATAGTTTAGTTTTAAACTAAACTACAAAAATATTTAAAGTAAAATATATACCTAAATTACTTTAAACCTCTTCAAAAATATTTAAATATTTTTTTAGTCAAACAACAAATTCTTCTTCATTATTTAACCAAAATTCTCTACTGGAGAAAAATCAAGATAAGAATAATGAAAATAAACAACAAATTTTATTAAAAGAAGAACAACAAAATATCGAAGATTTACTACCTAAAAAAAGAAAAAAATGTAAATAAAATTATATTCTTTAAATTAAAAAAAATATTTTACTTAATTAATTAATTATCACCCCCACACATATACACACCTTAATTTATTTGACAATATCGACCTAACAAATAAGTCTCCTTTCATTTATTTTGTCTTTCAATAAATATTATTTTCTTTCTAATTAATTAAATCAGTTTTTCTCTTTTTTTATTAAAAAAATAGTTTTTGTTTAAATTAAATTAAAATAATTTTTTTAAATAAAATAATTTTTTAGCTTTTAAAATTTGTAAATGTTTTCCAACCGTTGTTCGAGTAATTGTTGAAAGTGGAGGTAAAGAAGTAGAAGAAGAAATTGAACAAAGAATAATTACAAGTAGTAGCAGTACAAGTCAACTTCAATTAAATAATAATAATACAAATATATTTACTACAAAACATTCCCTTACAATTATGGCTAGTAGCAGCAGCAGTAGTAGTGGGGGAATATCTAGATTTAGAGTTTTTAATTAATTTAAATTTATTTATATTTATTTTTTAGATAATTCCAGTAAATAGTAATTATTATAAAAAAGGTCGGTGGCAAGTTTGGGATTATTATAATGAAGGAATTGTTGATAAAAAGACAACAACAAACACTAATAATATTCTCCAGCCAAAGGAGAATAAAATTGGAAAAGTAAAAGAAAGGGAAGAAGAGGAACAGAAAAAAGAAAATGGTTTTTAAAAATTTTAATTTTAACGACTCCTCTCTCATTACGAAGGGATCTACTTTATAACGGCACCTCTCATGCCGAAGCTGACATATGCGAGAAAGAATCGTACGAGGAGAGTTCAACCCTCCGTAACTCAGAGAGGAGTCGTAACAGAGGGAGATTCTCTAATTTATTTTAAAAATTTTATTTTTTTTAGATATTTCTCCAAAAATTGGAAATACTTCTTTTAATTATGAAAATGAATCAAAAATAAATCCTCCACCTCCATCAATTCTTTCACTTCAAAATATACCTACTTCAACTTCAGTTAATTAAAAATAATTTAATCTAATATTAATTTAAATTTAAAGCAAAAATTAATGCCTCGACGTAATTCTTTCCAATTAATTACAATAAAAACTTTAGAAGATAAAAACTCTTTAAATTCTGTTCCTTCTTCAATTTCTGAAGAACGTCTCAATTTAATTGGTGTCAATGATAATACAAAAGAAAATAATTTAATTAAAGATTGGATTGTTTGTATTTTTAAATTAAAAAAATAATTAATTTATTTAATTTAGAAGCAACAAAATTCTTCCTCAGAATTTATTTCATTTCCACCTCCCCATCAAAATAATAAAACCCCCCAAATTGTAGAAGAACCTCCACAAAAGTTATCAGAATTTCCATCATACCCACTTTTAAATAATCACCCACCTATTTCAAGTAATTTTTAAATTATTAATTAAAAATATTTTTTATTAAAAGAAAAACTTGTTTTGTTAAAAAAAAAGAGACGAAAATTTTTTAAATTTGTTTTAAATCATTTTTGGGGGTAATAAATTAATTTTTAAATAAATTGGAGTACATATCTGTGTTTATTAATAAAAAAATTGGATAATTTAAAAAGACTGAAATTAAAAATATTATCAATAAAAACTGGGTAGTTATTCTATTTTTTTTTCTCTCCTTTTTTTAATCAAAACAAAAGAAAAATATAAATTATTTTTTTCTTTAATTTGTGAATATTTTAATTAATTTAATTAATTTTTAGTAGAATCTACTACAACAACTAATTTAGTATCAACAATTCCTTCTTCTCTTTCTTCTCCAAATTCTTTATCACCAAATATTAAATCAATTAGTACATTTCCTCCTCCCCCACCCAAACAAATGTTTATCCAACCACCACCACCTTCTAGTTTAGAACGTCAATTATCCATTGGATTAAATGAAAAAGAAATTAAAGAAAATAGTTCCCCGCAACAACAACAATATTTTTCTGCTTCTTTTGGACCTGGACAAATTCAATTTAATGGAAATATGAATGGAGTTGGAGGGCAAAATTATGTTGAAGAAAGGAGAAGGTCTATTGCGAGACGGTGGGTGTTAAAAAATATATAATTTTATTTAAGAAATTTAATTTTAGAAAGAAAAAAAAAGTTACTAAAATTATTTTTAAATTAAAAAAAATATTTTTTTTCAAAGTTTAATAATTGTTAGAAATATTTATACTTAAATTCAAACTTTTATCTTTTACTCAAAATATTTTATTAAATTTTATTTAAAACAATTTTTGATTTTACATAAAAATTATATATTATTAAATTATTTATTTTTTAATAGACTTTTTTTTGAATTACCTATTTAAATTCTAATTTATTTAAATTATATTGCGGAAGTAATATTTAATTGTATATTTTTTACAAAATTAAATTTAATATGTTAAATTTATTTATTTAATTATTTTTTTAAATTAATTTTATTAAATTATTTTATTTTAAAAAATTTTTTCAAAATTTCCGACACAAATATACATACATATTTCTTCTATTTATTTCAAGTATGTATAGAGTAAAAATAGAAAATATAAATTTATTTTAATGACGACACTAACCGCGCATATTTAACATTTTATTTACTTTTCTTTTAAACAAATATTTCAATATTATTTTAAAAAAACTTTAAAATTTTTGAGGAAATTTTAAAGAAAAAAAAGTTTATTTATTTAGTTAGACCAAAGAATAAATAATTTTTGAAAAATAAAATTATGTTGGGAGATTTAAATATTAGAGAGTTTCGACTTTATTTTAAGAGAAAAGAATTAATTTTCAAAAAATATTTTTTGAAACATTTTAATTATTAAAATATTAGAAAAGACAACAGCTGATTGCTTAAAATTTTTTAGTTATAGTAACTTTTTATTTAAATTGTTTAATTATCAAAGATTTTAACCAAAAATAATTAAAAAATTAAATGAACATTTCTTTAAATAAACAAATATTTAAATGGTTTTTAACTAATAATTTTTAATTTATTATTAAATCTAAATTTTAATTAAAATTGACAAGTAAAATTAGGGTAGCGCCCCGTCCCCCCGTCGAATTCTTAGGCAAAAACCCCGACCCGAACTCCGAAGGCTCAGGATGCTACCCTAATTAAAATTAACAACTTTAATTATTTGTTTAGTTAACAAATAATTTAATTTAGCAAATTAAAAAAATCTTTATAATTTCCTTTTAATTACTTTAAATAAAAGTAAATAAATATTTTTATTTATTTAATTTTGTCATATATTTATTACCTCAATTTTTTGTCAAATAAACTCTTTTAAAAACAACTGTTTCTATCAACTTTATTTATAACTCCCACACAAAATTATTTAATTCTTAGAATTAATAGATTAAAAAATAAAAAGCTTTTTTTAAAAAAACTTGTTATTTAAAAAATAAAAAAAATATTTATTTTTTTTCTTGAGAATTAATTAAAAATAAAAATATTTTAAAAATTTTTTCTTTAATATACCTAGTAGTTGCCGTGTAAGATTTTAGTAGATGTAATTATTCTATAGAAGGGGGAAATTGTTAGGTTTGTGGGGAATAGATAAAAGCAGTTTCGTTAAGTTCAGACCGTGCATTCCGACCTGTTCATTATTCCTCCTAACTATTACCGCCTTTTTTATCTTTGTATTTACCTCAGGATATAACAGAAGTTATTCAATTAAAATTTTATAAAATATTTTCTTAAATTTACTTCCTTTTTTATGTGAAAATTTGTTTCTTGTAATAATTTTTCTCATTGGGAAAATAATATTAAAATATGGAATTTAAATTTTCTATTTTTGTTCCTTTTTTTAATATTAAAATATTTTATTTAGGCAATTTTAATAATTTATTTTCTTTTTAATAAATCACAAATATTTAAAGTCGAATTTCTCTAACATCCAATCCTCGGAACCGAATTTACTCGACATATTGAGTGAAATGGGGGGGGGAGGGATTGTAGATTGTAATTTAAAAATTCAAAAGATATTCATCTATTTGGAGAGACAATACTTTTTTTAAATTATTTTGTTTTTTTAAAGATTTATTTAATTATTAAAAAAATGTTAAAATGTTTTTGTTCCCCAACACCAGCCACCTCCAATACTTCAAATATTTGTTCTTCATCAGAATTAAATTGTTGTTGGCTTCAATCATTAGAATTATTTGTTGGCAACCCAACTACAGAATCTCCTCTTCCTTTATTTTTTAATCAGCAACAAAAAATGTAAAATTTCCAAATTATTTTTTAATTAAATTTAAACATTTTTTATTTTATTATTATTTAATTTATTCTCGTAATTTTCCTTTTAAATTTTATTTAAAATTAATTTTTTATTAAAATAATCAATTAAATAATTATTTACTTTTCTGTCAAAAAACTTTTTTTAAATAAATTATTTTTCCTTTTCTAAAAATTAAATTTAAAAAATATTTTTATCTTTTCATTTATGCGCAATAAAAAAAGTTTTTTTCTTTTTAATTGAATGTTTCCTTTCATGTTAACCAACATAAAAATAAATATTCTCATAGAATAACAAAAATTCTTTTTTTTATTTTCCAACCAAAAAATCTCTTCTCGTCCAAAAGTCAATTAAAAATATATTTTTGTTTTTTTATTTAATTTATTTAAATATTCCCTCTTTTATTAAAAATATTTTTATTTAAATCACCTGTCAGGAGGAATTTGGTGAATAGAGTAACAAACAAATATAAAAATATTTAAATAAATATTTAATATTCATTTATTTATATATTAATCAATCAATTTTATAAAATTTCAAATAGAATATTTATTTTAATTAATTTAACAGTTAATAAATTAAAAAGGGGGTTTAAACAAGCATTTTAATACTATTTTTGATTTAAACTTTTTTTCGAACATTTGCCAGAACGCATGACTAAATTAAATATTTAAATGAATAATTTTATTATATTTTATTTCTCTCTCTTTTCCTCTTTTAAATTCGTTAAATTTATTAAAACATTTTTTAATTTTCTTGAAAAAATAAAATAGTAATCAAATAAAAGAATTTATTTGTTACTCTCTAAAAAATATTTTTCAAGTAATAAAAATATATTTAACGAACATTTATATATTTTTGTATGTAAATATTTTTATTTTTTCTTCTTTTTATTTATCAGTTAATAAATAAAATAAAATGGTAACAAATAGTAATAACCACCATTTATCGCCAATAATGCCGCCAAAACCTTCTGCTATCCCCTCAACTCAATTTAAAGTCGTTAAAGTAAATGTTCCAGCAACTTATTTGGTTAGAAGACGGCATTCTGTTGTGCCGGAAGCCGTTATTTGGGAAAATCATGGGGAGGCTAAAAGTGAAGCAGAAGTGACAGAAATTAGGCCTAGGCATTCCTGCCATTTCAGTTACCTATAAAATTATTTAAATTTATTTTTTTGTTTATTTTAACATTCGTTGTCTATATAAATTTAAAAAATTCTTTCAAGAGAGAGAATCTTTAGAAAATAAAAATATGTATTAAGTAAAAATCTCTTAAATAAGAAAAAATAATTTTTAAAAAAATATTTTCTTTTTTTTCTTTTTTAGTGGCTCGTCAGCCTCAACTGGAGCAGTACCTTCCACAGTACAGCAACAAAAAGTTGATGCTGGTGTTAATATAGATTACAAAATTGAACAGGCTATGGTTGGTATTTTTGAAATAAAATCCACTACCTTCCCTGTTCCTCCTTCCTCTTCCCTAGTAAATGGGAAATTAGAAAAAATTCTTTTTGAATTATTTATATTTTTTTTATTTTAATCAGGATTTGGTAAAAACTCATTTAATTTATGCTGTTCGTGATGAAATTGAATTACTTAAATCTAGAATTGTTGAATTAGAATCTAATGTAAATTTTAAATAATTTCTTTTAAAAAATAAATTCCTTTTTTCTTTAAAAAAAGGTTTTCCATCTAGAATCAGAAAATGCAAAATTACGTGAACATATACCTAAAGAAGTTTTAGCAAATATTTGTTTTGATAATCTACAACAACAATTTAATAAACAAAAAATTTTATTTTCAATTAACAATATTGCCTCAAATAAATAAATTAATTAAATTTAATTTTTATTTTTCCTCCCGGTAATAGTAAAATATAATTTTCTTAAAATTAATTTTTTTTTAATTTTAAAAGGCTTTTTATTTGTGAAAGAGAGAGAAAGAGAGCAGTTTGTCTAGAATAATTAATTTAATTTAAAAAATTTTCCTTTAATTTTAAATTGCTCATTTAATTAATTATTTTCTACTTAATTTTTTATTCAATTTTTTTTTGTATTTGTTCGGGTTTTTATCTCTAAATATAATTAAGAATTTATATTTTATTTTTTTCTTCCAAAGAATTGTCCCTATTTTAATGATAAAAATAAATTGTATTTTTTTGTATAATCATTTATGTACATATTTAATTCCTTGCAAAAGGTAGAGTGGGTTAAAACACTCAAGTCCGGGCAATTGAGGATATGCTTTTCGCTTCCAATAATCGTCTACATAATATCCTTTTGCATTAACTAAAAGAGGAATATCCTAGTTTAGTTTTTAAATTTTATTTAATTTTTATTAAAATGTTAACTTTCCTTATATTTTTTTAATAATATAAAAATATTTTTTTAAATATTTATTTTTAGTATAAAACAAATAATTATATTTATATATTTTTTAACAATTTTTAAATTTAAAATAAAATTAAAATCACAAATATTTTTCATATTTTTTCTTCTCTTTTTTGGACAGAAATAAATTCAGAATTAGCTATTTGTCTAGCTAATTCTTCATCTCTTTTCGCCTGTTCATTTTGTTTAATTTCCTCTAATTCAAATTTTTTAGTTAATTCCAATGCCAATTCTTCATCTCTACGAGCACTTAATTTAAAAACAAAATTAATTTAAAATTTCAAAAAAACATTTCTTTTCTTTCTTTTTCAGCTTTTTCCAATTCAGCTATCTGTTCTTGTCTACTTAATTTAAAATCTTTTGACAAATTTTTATGTTTTTCTTTATTATTTGAATAATGAAAACGAAATTCTTCTTCTTGTAAAGAATAAGCTAAAGTTAAATCTTCACCCAAATTTAGACGAGAAGCTACTAAAATTAATTTTTAAAAAATTTTAAGTAATTAAAATACTTGTAGCTACAGTTTCTCTTTTATGTTCATTATCAAAAGAAGAAGAAGATGTTGGGGAATTTATTGCTTTACTGTTATTTGAGGAATACATTTTTTAATTTAAAAAGAAAATATTTAAATTTAAATATTAAAAAAAGTTTTTCCTTAATAATTATAACCAGCCTTTTCTAAATTGATTGAATTTATATTTATTTATGTACGAAGAGAGAGAGAGCAGCTGTGTAATTATTTTTAAAAAGTATTCTTCTACATATTACCTATGTATTTTATTCGACTGTCACAAGGTAATTAATTTTTAAAAAAACTTGAAAAATAATTTTGTAATTAAGTTGATGGTAGGAAAAAAGGGTACTATGCGTTTATATCCCCCCACGTCTGCAAAAGTTTGTCCGCACTTTTTCCTTCTTTCTCCTCTCATAAGGATTAAAAATGGTAAGTATTAATAAACCCACATTTTCTTTTCTCCTCCTTGCTTCTTCCTTTCTCATAAATATTAAGAATGGTCAAGTAAAAATAAAGATCAAGAATTTTCTTGTAGATTCTAAAAAACTCAAATACGATAAAGTATCATTCATATAAAATGACAGCCGGTCCAAAAAATCCGAGTCGGTCCAAAGTGACCGACTCGGATCGAAATATCGAGTCGGGCCTATGATATTTGGCACGGAAACACCCTCGGACATAACAATATCATTCCAATCTAACAATGATTTTAAAATGAATCTTTTTGAAAAAGGTCCTAACAAGACTCATACGGCACGACTCGATAAAAATAAGGCCCGAAAAAAAGACTAGACCGACGGCCGACACGAAAATAGCAACCCTATTTATGAGAAAAGAGTAAGGAGAAGAAAAAGAAAATTTGTGTTTATTAACTTGACCATTTCTTCTCCTTATGAGTGGAAAAAGAAGAAAGAAGGAAAAAAGTGCGGACAAACTTTTGCAGACGTGGGGGGATATAAACGCATAGTACCGAAAAAAGAAATTTAATATAATTGATGGAATGAACATTTTTCTGCTTTAAGTAAATTTGAGAAAACCATTTTATTGAAATATATTTTTAATAATAAAAATTAAATTATAATAAAAAAATCTTAAATTAATTTTTCAATTAAGGAAAATTAAAGTAAAAATAAAATAAATAAATTTGTTGTTTCAATAATAATCACGAATTAAAATATTTTAATTGTTAATAAATTCTTTTATTAATATAAAATCAATTTTTTAGTGTAAAATAAATTAATAATGTAAAATAAATTAAATTATCCTATTTTAAAGCCTAAACATTTTGGATTGAAAAGACAATCTGTCGGCATTATAAAATTGTTTTTATTTAATTGAAATTTAAAAATAAAATTAATTCTTAAGTTTTTTATTCTCATTTAGGATTGAAAAGAACTTCGGAAATTGAAAAGAAACAGTTAAAAGCCAATCTCATTTATGGATTTTGAACTTCCGCATTAATTTTAAATTGTTTATACATATATGTAATTGAAAGATTATGATAAAGCCGATTTACTAAATTTTATTATTTTATTTTTTTAAATGCAAAAAAAACAATTTGTGGATATTTTCTTTTTAAAAGGAAACGTGCAATTATAATATGTATATAAATAATATATATTTATTTACTTAAAAAATGTTTATCTCTTTTGATTTGTGTTGGCATTATTTTACTAAAATGGGGACAAAAAATAAGATTTTTTGTCAAAAATTAAATAGTAATAGATAACTAGTTTTTTTTGTTTTTTCTATTTTACTGTCACCAAAAGTGTTCGGTAATCAGTTAAAATGAACATTATCTACGGAAAGGATCTCTAGCAAAACTACTCTTGACGAGACTACACGACGCCTATTTTAGTACATTATGAAGCAAAAATTGAAAGAAACCGTTGGAAGCCGATCTCATTTAGGGATTCCGAACTTCTACAAATTAATCTATTTATTTATATATTCCCTCCTTCTCTACTTTTTTTTCTTTAAAAATATTTTCAATTTTTTTTGTTTTGTCTCGTTCTTTTTTTGAACAACAAAAAGCAACTCCCTTCGGGACCTTTGACTTTCCCCACATTTTTGTCATTTTATAAAGCTTATTTTTTACTTAAAGTTAAATTTTTTGTTTTATAAATTGTAGATTCTGTTTTTTATTTATTTAGAAAAATTTTGTTTTTGTCAATTGTCAATAATTTATTGACTAAAAATTTTTTTTGTTCTTTTTTTGAATTAAATTAATAATTTTATTTTTCAAGTGTTTAAGCATGCTTTTTTAAAATATTAAAGTACCCAGACATATGTATATAATTCTACTATTTGTAAATAATTTTTTAAAAATATTTTTCCTTTTAAAAATTTATTTTATTTTACTTTATTGTCCCATCTGTAAATTAATTAAATTTACCTAATTCTTTTACAAATATTTTGTTTTTATTTTTTTTCTTTATCTTTTTCTCAAAAATAATTTTAACAAAAATAAATTTAATTTCCATAATTCTCCAGATGGGTTCATCGGCAGCAGCTCATGTAGCCTTAAATAATTACAATCAGTTATTACGTAAAGTAACAACTTCTGTCCCCCCTCCCCCACCACTACTTTTCCCTTTAAATAATTCAGAAGAATTATTATTCTCTCTTACAAAACCAAATAAACAATTTATTAATTTACAAAAGAAATCAACAATTATGGAACAACAACAACAAAGAAATAATAATAAATTTCAACCTACTGGTTAGGAAATTTTATTTAAAAATTAAAATAATTTGAAGATTTTAATAATAAAATATTTGATATTAATTATAGAAATTAAAATAAGGAAATAAAAATTTATAATAAAATAAAGGAAGAATTATTTATTGTTGTTTTTGATGGTGAAAAAATTTTTTTAAGATTGATTTTATCTGAAAAAAAAACTCCATTATTGGGGGAGGGGGTGGTACACATATTTTAGCACTCCTAACTAAATAAGTTAACAAGCATCATGGAACTTTAAATATTTTCAAAGCCAATTGTTATTATTTATTATTCCATATTTTTTAAACATTTCCAGACTTGTTCTCTTTTAAAAACATTTGCTTTTTCTTATAATAAATCAGCTGCTAAACTCTCTTTTTTAAATACTTTTAATCACTTTTATTTTTTATTTTCTTTTATTCCTTAAATATTTTTTAGACTACCTAATTTCTTCTAATTTTAACCCTTTAATATTCAAAAAAAGTTTTTCTAAAAATGGGTTCCTCTGGTGCCGCTGCGTTTACTCGACGCCTTACTGAGGCTTCAATTGATAGAAGTAGTGGAGGTTTCTTTGCCGCCAGACATTCCTCCATTGTGCCACCTCCGTTGCCCCGTTCGAGTATGTGCTCGAGGCCTTCTTTTGGTAAATTTATTTTTTTCTTAGATTTCTTTTTAAAAAATTATTTTGTTTAATAAATTGATTTGAAATTTATTTTATTACATTATTAAAAATTTCAAAATAAAATCCTTCATTCTCTCTCATTTCAAAGCTTTTTTTCTTTTAAAATTATCCTTTTCTGATTTAATAATTTAAAAGAAACATTCATTTTATTTTTTAAAATATAATTTAACACAAAAAATAAATATTTAAACTTTTTAATTTAATTTAAATTAAAATTGTTAATTGAAAGAAATTCTCACAATTAAGGAAAAAGATTTTTTTAAACTTTAAAAGAAAAATACATTTTCTTGAAATTCTAGCGGAACGGCACAAATGTTTCTTTTATTTACATTATTTATTTTAGGAGAAAATGTGTGTTTAAATTTAGAAATAAAATGAGGGGAATTTTCAGATGGTAATAGTTAATATATTTTAAGATATATTTACAAGTTGAGTTTTAATATTTAGTTGAGTAAAGTTTTATGTCATTTTTCTTTAAATAATTCTTTAAAAAATCAAAATTAATTTTATTTTTATAATTTTAATATTTCTTTTCTTAAACTTTGAAAAACTTTGACTGAAAATTATTTTGTTTAATTTTTTAATACTTTCAAGGTATTTTCTTGTTATGTGACCCCTCATTAAAAATGTTTTAAAATGTCTAGGCTACTTCGAGCCCACTATTTCAGCCTAGCACATAACCTTAGTGTCGTTCGAACAACACATATTTTGTCCATATTCATAACATTTAAAACATTTTTAATCCGGGGGAAAGTAATAAGGAAAGTAATAACAGGAAAGTACCAATTTTTAAAAAATTCTTTATATTTTTTTTCAGAAATATCGTTGGGTCCACATCGTGGTGTTAAATGGGATGATGATGAATTATTAAGACGCAGATACGGTGACGATTTTGATGAAATGAGTGGTCCTTTGACTGATCAAGTAATTAATTAATTGTTAATTCATATATTTTTATTTATTTTTTAGTTGTCTTCAGACAGAGAAACTTTTTTACAAAAAATATTAAAAGTATTTTTTAAATTAATTAAATTAATTAAAATTATTTTTTAAAAAGTATTTAAAAATTCTATTGCCCCATGTTGGTTTAAATATTCTTTTATTTACTTATATTTCTCTTGGGGCTATTGTTTTTATTTTTTTGGAAGCTGAAAATGAATTAGAACAAAGAAGAAATAAATTGGCACAAATACTTCAAATTTGTAAAAAATAAAATTTTGGAAAAAAATAATTATTTCTTTTAAAAAAAAAAGATGATTTAATAATTAACGAAACTTCCTCTGTTTGCCATTCAGCAGGGGCTCATTCATTAAATATAAATACTGTTGAAAGGCGTATGCGCCCATTACTTTCAGTACTTTCACGTACACATGAATATGATGAAAGATTTACTCCAGAGGCACAAATGTGGACAGATTCTGAGAAAAGTTTAAACACAAAAGTGAACACAAAAAAATATTAATTTAAATTTAAATATTTATTTTTAGTGGACTTTTGCTGCTTCTAGTTTATATGCATTAACTGTTATTACATCTACAGGTGCTTAACATAAAAAAATATTTTTATTTATTTATTTTTAAAAAGGATATGATCATTTAACCCCTTTAACTGATGCTGGAAGAATATTTACTGGTACTAAAAACTTTAAATTTTGAATAAATAAATAATTTATTTAAAGTTTTGTATGGACTATTAGGAATTCCTTTAATGTTTATTACAGCCGCAGATATTGGGAAATTTCTTTCAGATTTAGTTATTAAAACTTATGGGAAAATATTAGCATTATTTACTTGGTTAGCTTCCATTGCAGACACAATTAGGGATTTTATTGTTCAACCAGATGATGAATCTATTGAATCTAGGTAAGGGGATTTTGTTTAAAATAATTTTCAAAATTAAAAAAGAAAATGGAGAGAACATCGAAAACAACGTCGTCGACGTTTAAATAATGGTGAAGATGATGAAGACGAAGAAGATGATGAAGAAAGAGAACGGCTACAATTACCTATATTCAGTTATTTTGCTTTGGTTGTTGGGTATTGTGCTATTGGAAGTGCTTTATTTAATGCTTGGGAAAGGGGGGCTGTTTGGTAAAAAATTAAAATTAAATTTAAAATATTTATTTAATTAAAAGGTCATTTATTCACGGACTTTTTTTCTCTTTTAATACAATAACAACAATTGGTTTAGGGAATATTTGTGTAACAAGTAGAATATATTTAATTGTAAGTTTGTTTATTTTTTATTTTAAATTTAATTAATTTTAAATTAAGTTGGTTATTCTTTATGTTATTATTGGATTGGCTGTAATTACTGGTAATTTAAATTGTTAATTTAATTAAAAAATATTTAATTTAAAAGCATCACTCGATTTATGTTCATCAACATTAAAGAAAACATTTACTAAACTTCATTACTTTGGCAGAAAAATTCGTGAAATACATGGAATACATGGATTGAGGTAATTTAATAAAAATAAAATTAAATAAATAAATATTTTTTAGTAGAGATATGAGAGAAGCTATGAAAATAATTTCTGCAATGAAAAAGATTAGGTACTAAATTATATGTACTATTGATAATTTAAATACCTAATTTGTTTATTTTAAAGAGGAAGTAAAGAAAGAATTACTTTAGAAGATTTAAAACGTTTTTTGGAAGTACAAGAGCAATTATTGAGGTAAATTAATTAAATTTTAAATATAGTAAAGGGTAAGTATATGTTTTACACTTATTTTTAAATTAAAATAATGGTATGTCTGAATTTTTGGGGGATAATTTTTAATATGATCTACTGAAATGCCTATAAAATTTTTATTAAAACAAAACCGTTAAATCGTAGATTTAGTCATCTAATAAAAAATTAAATGAGCTAGAAAATAATTATAAAATTATAAAAAATTGACTAAAACTTTTGAGTCATTTTGTAATATATTTTTAATTTAAAGACAGCCATATGTTCCTTATAATGTACATATTTTTAAATGGATTGAAGATGCAGTAAATTTTTAAATTTATTTTTAAAATTAATAAAAATATTTTAATTATTTTTCAGTATTTTCAATACTTTTCTAATGAAGACTCAACTTCTTTACCAAGCAGAAATTCAATTCGAAAAACATCACCGGGAGGACAAGACAATACCCAACTTCAATTACCTCCACCACCACCCCCACCCCTTCCAACAAATATTCAACAATATTACAAAGCGGGAATTAATAATAATAATTTTAATCCAAAATTTCTTTAAAAAACATATCCTTTTTTTAATCAAATTATTATTTTTGTTTCTTTCAAATGTTTCCCAAATTTATTATACATTTTGCTTTTTAAAAACACTATTATTTGCTCAATAAATTTTTTTAAGCACAATTGGGTTTACAAAAATATATTCTTAATTAAATATCAACTGGCCCCCCCCTCTATAACTGTAACTGTTAATTTAAAGTATATTTAGAGATTATTCTCCCTAATTTTTATCAAGTTTATCATTCCCAATCAGGGTGGCCCCTTCCAAAACACTAATGCCGTGTTTACATAAAAAGCGTCTTGCGTTTTGCGGAAGAAAATAGCATTCAAAAGAATGAGAGACAAAATCGCGTCTCTTTATTTTTAATGCTATTTTCTTCCGCAAAACGCAAGACGCTTTTTATGTAAACACGGCATAAAATAGGGCGAAGCCACTCAAAAATAGGGCAAAAATAGGGCGAAATCGGCCAAATATAGGGCAAAAATTAGGGCATAGCTTTAAAAGCTTAAACATAATTAAAATTTCAAATAAGGCGAAAATTTTGAGACTTTCTGAAGACCAAGAAGTCAAATTTCTTCCATTTTTAGCGCCGCAGGCGAAAATTTTGAAGATTTTGGAGCTCAAGCAGCCAGATTTCTTCCATTTTTTGCGCCGCAGGCAAAAATTTTGAGGATTTTGGAAGGCCAGGAAGTCAGAAATCCTTTATTTTTACCATTTTTTTACAAAATCCTAAGAATTTTTAAAATTTTACAAAAGGGTAAAAATAGGGCAAAAATATGGCAAATGAGAAAATAGGGAAAAAATAGGGCGAAAAGGTCAAAAATAGGGAAAATCCTCTATAAATAGGGTAAAAGGGCCACCCTGTTCCCAATTAAATTTTGAAAATTAAAACAATATTTTAAAAACTTTACACAATTTTTTTAACAAAGAACAATAACAACAACAACATTTCATTAACAATCAAAACTTTCCAAATTAAACAACAATTATTTAATAACAAAAATAATCTCTCTTTAAATCTCCATTTCTTGTTGTTCTTCAGTATTACTTTCAAAAATTATATTATTATTAAAATTATTAAATTCATTAACAGATTGTAAACACATTAATTCTTCTTCATAACCCTCATCTATCGGCAAAATATTTTCTCTTTCATTTTCTTCAATACAATTATTTTGTTGTTCTACTTCTTCATCAATATCTTCTTCATCTTCATCAATTATAACATTTTTACAAAGTTTTTCCAAAGGGGTAAAGCGCCTCATTAACGGAAATATTAACGGAGAACATCTTTTTTTAATTAGAAAAAATTATTTTAAAAAAATCTAAAAAATTCCTTACATTTTTAATGAACAAAAACTAAAAGGAAAAAACAAATCAATAACAGCCCTTCTACGTTTTAATGAAATTTCAGCCATAGAATGAGTAGATGTTTTGGGTGATAATGATGAATTATCTGTGTTTTTCTCAAATAAATTAAAACGTCTAAAAATTAAATTTTTATTTTCAAAAATCCAAATAATTAACCTAGCCAAATTTAAAAAACACAAAGCAACACCTTGGGAAATATGTTGTAAAGGATTTAATGAATTAAAAACAATTTTGTCTAAATTCCATAAATTAAATTGGCTTAAACCTAAAAATAAAATATTTTTAATAAAATTTTAATTTAAATTTAACTATTTTCTTCTTTATTTAATTCTTCATAACGATAACAAAAAACAAATAAAAGTGCTTGTACTGTTGAATAAAAAATTCCATGTTGAACCATTTTTGTGTTAACAGCAATGTTTCTTTTAGAAATTTCATTTTTTGAATTTTCCAAAATATAATTAAAACACCAATTAGATATTGTATTTATCCAGGAACAAACAAATCTAAAAAAAATTTTAAAATATTAATTTCTAAATAAAATTTATTAAATTAAAATTTTGTGGTTACTTGTGGTTTTTAACAAAAATTTTCAGGTATTTAATTATATTTAATTTCCTTTTTTAGAACAAATTTCTACTTAAATTTAAAATTAAAATAAATTAATTTTTACTCCAAATCAATATAATTTGCTCGTGCCAAGAATCCACACAAAAAAGTAGCTGCATTTTGTGATTTTCTCCAATCCCCCCGTTCAATTGGTGTCCGAATTACTTCCCACAAAAATTCTAACATTTTTTGACAATTCTCCTTTAAAATAAAAATTTAAAAAAAAATTTCTAAAAATATTTTCAAACATTAGAAAGACTGCAAAGATAAAACCAAACAAAAGGTGTTGAATGCACTCCAGTTGCTGTTAAAACGTGTTCATCAAATCCTTCAAGAAATAATTGAAAAATTGTGCAGAAAGGCTTTTTCTTTCTTTTATTATTATTTTGATTATTAATTTCCTCCTCTTCAATTTTTGAAATCAAGAATCGTAATAATCCTTCAAAATTTTTATCTAAAATAAATTTTATAGATTCTTTTAAAATATTAATATTAACCTGTTTCTTTATTAATTATTTGTTGAATAACTTCTTCAGCTAATTTTCCCCCTTTTGTACCAACAAATAAAAGAATAAGCGCAACAAATTGATCAAGTTTTGTTTCCATTGGATTTTCTATTGGCTGTTTTTCTTCAACTATTGATTCTATTATAATATTCGAGTTATTTGCAGGACTTGGAAAACAATTCTAAAAAAACAAATATACATATTTATAATAATTGTAAGGCATGATGGAAAAGCTAATTTTAACCAGAAAAAGCAAATGGATAGACTAAAGTCGGTTTCCCTCATCATTTCGCAGTATTTTGGAGATGCCGGGATGAAACAGAGAACAGGGATTCTCAGTTCTGGCCGGTCGATTTTCAATACTTGTTTCTGATCCTGGATTTTTTGGAGCGGGTGACCGGGAGGATTTTTAGTGACTAGAAAGTAAAGCTTTCTATCCAAACTCAAGGATAGCAGCACAATGCAAAATAACACATAACTTTTATATTCATTAGTAAAATAAATTGCCTTACATTTGAAGAATCATTAGTATTATTGCAAAAACTTAATCTGCTTTCCTCATCATGTAAATCAGTTATCGCCGCCTTAAATTAAAATTAATTTAAAATACTATTTTTCTAAACAAACATCTAATTGTAATAATCTATCAATAATTAATGACCAAATTTCAATTCTTGTATCTTCATCATTACTTTGCTCTGCTAGTTTAACTAAATTACATACAAATGGAAGCATTTTATCTGCTGGTTGTCTTACATGAGGGAATAAACGAACACAATATTTTACAAGTACACGATTACTTCTATTTTAATAAAAACTTTTTTCCTTTTTAATTAAAAAATACAAACAATTTATTGCAAGTGACAACTCTCTGAATTGATTTAAAAGCCAATTTGTACAATGCCTCTTGTTCTTGAGAATCTATACAAGTTTCCTTTTTTTGGATTGGTAGTAGATGTGTAACAAATGAAGTAAAAACTTCTTCAATATGGTTAATTTGAAATATAGCTAATGTAATTAAAAATTCAACAAAACGATCTCGAATTGACAAAGGAACATCAACCCAATGAATTTTCTGTTAAAGAAAAAAGTAAATAAAATAGTTTAAATAAACTTACACAAAATTGTTGAATTAATTCGTGAAATCGTTCATCAAGAACATCATACATATCAGCAAACTTAAATGGAATTAAGCTATTTAACATTAAAAACACTATTAAAAACCTGTTGAATAAAATTTATTTTGGAAGATTCTGGCCATTTTTCAAAAGTTTTTAGAGCTTCTTGAAGTCCCAAATACTTGGCAACAGCTTCAGGTTTTAACTTAAATATGAGAATATATTAAAGATCCCCTAAAAATGCTAAATTGACGAGCAAAAATAAATTCTCATTCAAATATCTAAGATAAATCTTCCCACTTCTAACCTTTTACACAAATTATTTAATTTAATGATAATCATAATAATTATTAATTTGTTAACCTGTAGATATCCTTGAACTATTTCGCGTCCAGTAATCTTTTGTTCTTCAAATTCTGACTTTATCTTAACATCAAAATCAAAAGACATATCCATTATAAACCGACTAATCTAAACAATTTAAAAATTATTCTACAAGTTATAAAGCAATTGCTATAAGATGGATTATTCTCGGCAATAGTTAAGAATTCTTTTTTTTTTGAAAAAATGCTGTTATAGTATGCCAGTATTGCAATTCTGCCAACTCTTGTTAAAATACAATTAACAGAAAGCACAGCCGATCACCAACCTAAAAGGTAACTTAAAAAAGTAATTTGTCGGAATAATGCTTATCACATTAGTCAGTAAATTCTGATCAAATATTTCACGAAATAGCACGTTATAAATAATAGCGACCTATAGGAGGACCGTTATGGCGCGGGTTGCTAAGGCGCAAACATTTCCAATATACGCGAAAAGTTTTTTTTACATTTCTAACATAATTCCAAGCAAACTATAAATTGTTCTAACGACCTGAAATGTTCCAATATCCTGAAAAGTTGTTCCAGGAATTAGGCCGTTTAATTAGGCAGATTTTAAAAATTGACATATTACTGACGAAAAGGGCTTCTGACGAAACTACCGGACACGGCATATAAATATTCTTATGTTAGTTACACAAAATCGAAAATACTACATTAAATAAAATCCCTTTTATTGATATACATGTGCATAATTATAATATGTATGTAACATTTAGAATCATCAACAAAACACTAATCATAAAACTTTTGAAATCCACATAATTAATGTAACAGCAGACAATGAGAACCTGAAATTTTCTATTTTAATTTTAAAATTAAGATTAGTTAAAATATTCGATTTTTCTAATTTTTCCTATTTTGCCCTTATATTCTGTAAAATTTTCAGGTTCACCTTCTATTGGCTTATTCAAATCAATTTTGACTAATTAAAGTTTTCGAGGGTCCCAAACAAGGCGTTCAAACTTTAAGGGCCCTGGTCCAACTAAAAAATTCAAACCATTGTAGCATGTAATTAAAATGTTGATTTCTCAATGCAATGTTTGTTTGGCTTCCAATCGGTTCAAAATTTCCTTCGTTAAATAGAGATTTATCAACGTCTATAAGGATTGGTGATGCATCACAATGATTAGCCATTTGCTTCAAATCTTTGTATACCCATATATTTTTGTTTGGTTGATTATTAAGAAACTGATGGGGCTATAAAAGAGAAAGAACATTAAAATTGGATAAAACTAACGGAATTTCGGCTTTTATTTATTAGTATAAATCAAGGGCGTAGTCAGGGGGTTGATTTCGGAGGGGGGGGGGGCTAACATAGGGTATTCTCGTTATATATAAACGTGATTATTTTTTAATTCACCATTTCTGATCTCCTTACTGTTCCAGTGATATCTTTTTCAATAGGCTTCCTTTGTCTTCCTTCATTAAGTTCATATTCTATCCTCTCGGCTGGGATCCATCCTCTATTAATCATTATCACCTGACTATAAGAAATTTTTTAAAAATATTATCAGAAATATAATTATTACTCGGTTCCTGAAATTTTAAAAGGCGTTATTACTTGGGCACCATTATTGTTTAATGTTGAAGACCAATTCCTCTGAATTAAATTGTCCTTTTGTGGATCATGCTCTGCGAGATCTAAACGGCCTCTCCAACGAATGACAAACTGCTTTTGGAACAAATACATTCCTTTCACATGTACTTTTCTATATTCTAATTGTTCAAGTTGTGAGAGGCTGAAACCAAACAAAATTAAAAATTTAATATTAAAAACTAAACTCATCAATCGGAAATTCAATTGGTTCTTCCTTCATTCCCGAACGAATTTTTTCAATTAAATCTGTCTTCCAAATATGCCTTTTCCATTGCCAACAGCCTAAGCAAAATGTTGTTGCAGGCACAACCTAAAAATTTAGATAGTTTATAAATTTTTTGGGAAAAAACAAACAAAAAGAAAATATTTCTTCATTTTATTTTTAGTTATTCCATCTGTTTTAGTAGAGCCTGGCATCTTCAAATTATTGCGTGTTAAATCACTTAATCTTCTTCTTTGTCCAAATATAATAATACTCCTTTCTGCCGAGAGAAGCCCCATTTAGCAGAAAAAAATTCTCAATTTATCCTTAAATTCGTTTAAAAAACGAAAATTTCTATCACCATTAAAGACAAAAGGTTATTCAAAAATTAGATAAAAATAATCCCTGTTAATTTAATTGAAATTAAAAAATAAAACATCAACTTTAAAAGCAAAAACTTTATTTTTACTGAAAAAAAACAACAACCTAAAATATTACAATTATTCAAATTTTTCAAAACATTAAATTCAACATCTAAACTACCAAGGTCTATTTGTCTCACCAATAGGAAATTTTTGAATGCGATGGACAAATTCACGATCAAAAAAATGATAAAGATCTGGCCTAAAAATTGAATTTCTATAAAATTTCTCTTTTAAAAATTTACCTTGGTAATCCCATACGAACAGATTGTTCATCATGCTCATCACTATATAAATCATAATCTTGCAACATGTAGAAAGGTGCAACACCAAGAGCTCGTTCCCATGTCTGAATATAGAAATAAATAATCGAGCATATCTACCTTCAATTCGTATTTCCAATAATAATGCCCACAGAGAGCAACAGTCCATAAAATCATAACTCTTGGCACATAAGCACGAATAATTGTAGCTCGGTATGCTCCAAAAGTTGGACGAAGGAAATGCTTGTAGAGGTAATCCCAAGGCATTCGATAAATAACTCGAACAGGATTCATTTGTCTAAAATATAAATTTTTAACTTAAATAACCATAAAGAAATGAATGGACGGGCCGATATGCGAAAATACTACTTTTAATAAATCTCAAATTAGCACATAAAATTAGCACATCCTTTTCTTTTAACTTTTCTTTTAATTATTATTCTACCAAAAGATTGAAACTTAAAACAGACCGGTGCACGGCGTCCACATGAATTGGCTCGTCAGGATGCAATTGCTCGGTTTTCAAAAATTTTCTAAAATTTTATGCATATTTAACAATAAAACATTAAATTCATTTACTGGCGCCAATCTCGTTCTGCTGGTGTTAATCCTGCCGTACGAACTCGCTCATCTTAAAATTGACAATTTATATCTAAAATGTTTAAAAATTTACCTCCCATATGTAATTCAAGACTCATCTAAATTAAAAAATTATTAAAAGCAGCTAAATATTAACCAACCGGATCATAAACTCGATGAGATGGCCGGTCCTTTTCTTTTAAAACATTAAGCTTAGGGGGAGGCTCGCCAGATCGTGTACTAATATTAAGTAGTTAGAATCATAAAGAAACTGCAACTTACTGTGGATTTGGACCTCTTATCTCAGGCCTGCTATAAAAAGCTCCCATTCCTTCTAATCTTCAATAAAACAAAAGTCAGTTTCAAACTACAAAGAAATAATTTTTATAATAAAAAAAGTCGTTGTATGGAAATAATTTTAAAGCAATACAAAAAGTATTTTGTTCTTAAACAATTAAAAATAATCTATTCTTTAAACTAAATATTTAAAAAAATATGCAGAAAGCGTATGGTGAGGATATTCAACAAACAAAAGGATAAATTTAAATACAGGAGATAATTTATACTATTAAAGAACGGTAAAAATTCAGACATCTGAGAAAAGAACAAAATTTAATTTTAAAAACAAATACAGCAAAAGTCCGTTCAACCACAAATCTTTCATTTCCATTTAAAAGTTAAATATTCTAAACCCGCTTGAACTCAATCTTATTGTCAAGTGTTGCCGGACAAAAAACCCACTCGTTCTTCTCATAGCCCTCGTTACAATGTGTCAGAAGAATTTGTCGCCGCTGTTCAACATATCTATATTTGTCTTGCACCTAAAATTTGGTAATAAAGTAAAATATTCAAGAGACAAGTAATGAGCATTCATTAATTTCAAAAGATATACCTTTTGCTTTACGGTCACCAAATCTTTGTCCTCAGGCAAATCTCGTTCCAAATATTCGCTTAGCTTAAATATTTCTGTCAAATTTATAAAAGTTTTTTATAACCTGTTCAGTAGCAAGTTCAAGGTCACTTTGGTTATCTTCAAAAAGTTTAGTGATATTATTCTGCTTTAAGTAGAAGGCGAAAACATAACTGAAAAATAGATTAAACCATAAAAATATTCAACTTTACTTACGTATACATAAGTGTGCGTCTACATTCAACAAGCACTTCCACAGCTTTTTGCAAGAACTGAGTTTCAATCCATGAGAATCCAAGTTGTTGCATTTGCTCAACCTTTTCACTAACTTTCTCAAAAAGCTGAAAAGTAGCTAATAAAAAATGTTTATTAAACAAAAAATCACCTTTCGTTCTAATTTTAATGAATTATGGTGGTTTGAGTATCGGTTATAGTAGTGAAGATAACGCTGTAAAGCAGCACGCGAACGTTCCTGAGCATCTCGAGCTTTTTTCCCAGCATCGTCATCGTATCGGTTACAAGAGTACCAGCCAGAACCTGATGAAATGTTAACTGATATGAAATTAATAATAAACATTTTTCATAAACCATGAGGTGACCATGGACCAAGGCACATCCAACAAAATTCGAATTTGCAAGAAAGGTTTTTGCAGGTCATATGATTACATCCACCGTCTTTCTCGATAGTAACCTGAAATAATGTGAGAATTTTGTGAAAATTTTTTATGAATTTATGCTAGACAAAAAATAAGAGTTACCAATAGTTGACCGATGACTGCAGGATATAATTATTCAAAAAACCCCTACCTGGCATTTCGGGCAGTCTTTTGTGTTGGCATTCAACCAATTTGATGTCTCGCTATCATCAGTACATTTCTTTAACCAACGTCTGAGAACATCACACGTTACTGGTTTATGCCATTGCTGAAGGCATTGGAAGCAGAAAATAAAACCACAATGGCAAACAATACGGCGGCATTCTGCATGAGGAACTTTAACTGCTCGACCACATTCAACAGCAGGGCACCATTTAATAAGTTTATTAACCTGATAATTTTAAAATTAAAAAATAAATAAAAATATAAGACCTCGACAAATGAATTTAGCACCAATTTATTATAGGCTCGCAAAGATTGTGGGTTCTTGAGAGTTTTAAGAACAAATTCGTCATCGGCAAGAATGTCACATTTAAGTTCTGGACAAGAAATGTGAGGATGTCCTTCGCCAAGAATCTAGAAAATTCATATATTTAAAAAAATTTAATAAAAACTTTGCTAGAAAGATAATTTGACCAGCACTCGCTACAAAATAAATGATTACAAAGTAAACCAATTAAGCGATTTTTCTCGCAGCAAATCTTGCAAAAGTCAGACTTTCCTTCAATCTTTTTGTGCTTCTTAGGGTCCAAAAGATTTGCCTTTTTGAAGAAAGCATCTGTATCAGTCGACTCGTAGAATCTGAATAGAAAAATAAAATGGTTTTTATGCTCAACTAAATACCTCTCAATCAAAGTGACTTTATTCCATTTGAATTGTTGAAGCAAAGCTTTACAAATAGAACCATTATATCGCAACACAGCGGAAGTCTCATTCGAAATTTTATTTAGCTCGTCGATTAGCTCAGTTTGATTCAAAATCTAAATGTAATTAAATAAGATAATGAGGTCAATCAGATACGTACCTGGTAATCTTTGTCAGATCCAGATGTAGCAGTTGAACTAGAAGGAACATCTGCTTTTGAAGTCTGCATAGCCACATCAACATCATCATCTGTTATTGCGCCGGTATCCTCTTCATCGCTTCCTTCCTGGCTAACAAGAATTTCGTCATTTGAATCTGAATCGGCCATCTTTTAAAGGTCTCCAAACAACAGATAAAATAAATTCCGGCAAAGCGGAAGAAATAGGAACTCTAAAAAAGTCTGAATATATACATATTTAGTATGTATGTATAAAACAACTTTAAATAAAAACTTAGCAAAACATTAACTCGCTAAAAATAAATTAAAAACGCTGAGAAATGAACTCGCGTGATCTGCCGCGTACCAATTTGCCGCGAACTTTTTATAAGTAAATTTGTTTTTTTGAGTACACTATTTCCCTTCGAATTTTACGAAATAAACAGACGTTTAAATTTAACTAAAAATAGTAGTGCGCGGAAGAATAACTCACGGCAGAATGGGCAGAACCGGTCTGGATTTTTCCGGAGTCCGGTGTTTTCCGTGATCTCCGTATTAACTTTGGGCCGGATTAGTTCAGAAAAATCCGACCGCACAGATCTGATTCGAATTTCACATAAATATGTGTATAGAATAGTTTTGGGCTTAAAAAGTTAGTCTCCCGTCCTGCATAATTTATAATTTAAAAATTCGAAATTAAAAAGCCTGATGCTGAAAATAACTTTAGAAATAACATGGAACATCTTCCAATAACATACATAAACTATTTAGAATAAAAACAATTTTATTCCAATTGATACAAAAACATAAAACTAATATTTATAACACAAGAAAAGAATTGCAGTGGGCTAAATTAAAGTGTTATATATTGGCATATTCTAATATATTATATTTCTGGTGCAAAATCCATATGCTTGAGAAGCTCACTAAACTCCTTGGCCAATTCGGGTGTACCCGCACAAAGTACTTTACGGCTCATCAAATCAAACGGGACACCTATTTTGTGATAATTTTTTCAAAAGTTATTAGAAATTCATTGGTAGTTGTGTATTGTCAGTATACACTTTCTCTTATTGTTAGTAATATAACAAAATTTATATCGGTACTTTATAGGTAAGTATACAGATAGTACACAAGTACCAATTTATTGTAAGAACCTGTTGGATCAATTACTGTACCACCGGCTTCACGCACAATGACAACGGATGCAGCCATATCCCATGAGTGAAGTCTAAAGAAAAAAAATGTTAAATGTCCACGCATTTACATTTTTAAATTAAATCATTTATTTACCCGCATTCGACATAAGCATCAATCGAACCTTCTGCCAAATACACCATATTTATCGATGCTGCTCCAAAGCTCCGATTACTGCAAATTTAAGAACATTTTCAAAAAAAATCTAAAATAGACCCGTGAATGCCTGCAAGAATTAACTTTCGCTGATTTTCAAGCATAAGATCCAACCACGCTTGACCCTTTTCGCGAATGTTATGGATTCCCTGAGACTGACAAATGACAGCTTCTTTGAGACCTTAATGTTTAAAAAATATTAAATAATTTATTTATCTAAATACTTTTCGCAGAAGAAGCATGTATTTGAAAACCATTTTTGAATGCCCCTCGTCCGGTTTGAGCGGAATAAAGCTCATCGGTGATCGGATTATATACAATGCCAGCACGCAGTTGTTTACCAATTGTAAGCCCAACACAGATACCCAAAAAAGGAACTCTGAGAAATATAAATTAATCAAATAAGTTAAAATAAGGAACCTGTGTACAAAGTTTGTTGTCCCATCAATTGGATCTTAAATGGATAAAATTAATTAAGAGACAAAAAAACCAATAATCCATGTCGGTGCATCTGTGAACTCATATTTCTTGCCAGTAGAAGCTCCCTCTTCACCAATAAACCTAAAATTATTGTCAAATTCCCTAATCATTAGAAATCAAAGACGGACTTATGATCAGGAAAACGAGCAGATAGCTTTCCAATTAGCAATTCTTCCACAGCTCTATCTGTCTCAGTAACAAAGTCAGTCGCTGACGCCTTTGTGTAAACAGTACCTACTGGTTTTGCAAACGCAGTTTTGACGATCTAAAAATTTATTAAAACAAACTGGCGAAAATACATACATTTCCAGCTTCGCGAACAACATTAAGAGCAAACAGAAAGAACTCATCCTCCTCTTTCGTAGTGTAATGATTGGAATTTGCCGAAATATCCATATTTAAGTTATTTAAGAAATATTGCCACCTTTATTTATTAATAATGCTTTCCTAAAAACTTAAGACAAAAACTAGTTTTTTTCGGATCGGATTTCGGGTATTATATAGGATCAATCTTCCCCGTTGTTGGAAATGTTCCTACCAAAATACTGAGAGACAAAAACACGGAACGACCAAAACACGGTATATTTTTAAAATCAGAATTTAAAAAAAATTTAACGGATCGATTTTAAAAAAATTCTGAAGAATTCTGATTTTAAAAAATATCTGATTTAGAAAAATTCTGATTTCAAAAAATATTGTGATTTTTAAAAATTCTGATTTTTAAAATATCCATGTTTTGTGGGTAGGGGACACTTGTGTACCGGCCGTTTGTGTACCTGGCCATATTTTGGGCCATAACTTTTTCGATTCTTAATTTATATAAATAATTTATATATCAATCGAAAGCCCTGGATGTGAGGATTATTTTTGCCAACAAGAGTGAATTGATCAGATTATCTTGCAAAAAGTTACAGCCAGATAAAGATCGAAATCACGATTGCGCGCACTTATCTGGCTGTAACTTTTTGTATGATGATCTAATCAAATCACTCTTGTTGGCAAAAATAATCCTCACATCCAGGGCTTTCGATTGATATATAAATTATTAAAATCAATCAAGAATCAAAAAAGTCTTGGCCTAAAATATGGCCAGGTACACAAACGGCCGGTACACAAGTGGGACGTTCCGATGTTTTGTCTTTTCCTCATTTTGGCATGGTCCGTATTTTGGTCGTTTCGTGTTTTGGTAAGACCACGTTTTGTCGTTCCGCATTTTGTCTGTTCCGTGTTTTGGAATTCCTCATTTTGCCCCTCAACCGATAGTCACCGGTAGTTTATTGACCGAAAATATCTAACGGATTGACTTTACTAAACATTTTTAGGAAATTAATAATAAAATTCATTACTCCAAAAAATTTTACATTTTATCATGACTGTCAAAAAAGAGATGCGTCAAGAAGACATGCCTAATGACCAATTCAATAAATTGTGTATGGAAGAATTAAAAATCGGTGCCAAATTTACAGCGAACCAATATGCCGAGCTTATTCTTGGACATCTTGTGCAGAATAAACCAATACAGGCAAAGTTTTGTTATACACGTGCAGTAGAACGAATTGAAGGATCTACTGAGCTGATAAAGCAAGTTTGGGCTTTTGGTCAGCACATATACACTAAAAGACTTGTTGAGGCGCTCGGAGCTTGTAAAAATACGCATCTAGATGATCAATCGCTTCAGTAAGTTATTATAAATGAGCAACTTTTATGATTTTGATTTAAATTTAGACACTATGTTATCGAAATTCAAAACAGACTTGTCGCCAAGCTGCTTGAACTTATTGCACGAACTTATACGTCATTAAGCTTGAAGAAGTTTTCAGAAGTAATGTGTTTAGCGGACGATAGAGAAACAAGCGAGTTGCTAATTCGTTGCATGTGGCCTGTCGAAAATAACTGGATCAAGCCGGTTTTAATTTCCTAAATTTATTTATGCATTTATAAATTAATGTTAAGGTTCAAAATGCGGGATTATACAAGACTCTTTCTGATCTCTGCAATCTTAAATATGGGCCCGCCGATTCAGACACAAGTGAAGCGAATTACAACAAAATTTTGGGGCAGATTAATTTGGAGAACCTCTCGGCAATTGTGAAAAGTTCGGTCTTTTTTGATGCGATGGAGACAACAAATCCTATAAGTGGAGCTGGAGGAAATACAAACAATTAATTTAAATATATATTTTATACTTAAAAATTTCTGTTGTTTTTAAAAACGCTTAAAGTTTTTTTAAACTCTCCAAAAATAAAGGGGCTTTGATAAAATTTTACAACAAAGGTTGGGCACTTATTTGGTCCCCCAGTTTTGACCATTCTGTAGATTTATAGGAAAAAACTTGGGAAGGATAAAATGGGGTCTATCAGGGGCTGTAGTTTAGTCGAGGGCCTGCACCGAACCGGGACAAATGATATGTCAATCGATTCGTCTCGGCGAGCTGAGTCGAACGGTACCACTCTCCAGGTGCGGAAATGCCTGTGGACCGAGATATAGGTCCCTGAAATTTGAAAAACCAAAGGGGGGAGTAAGCACTTTTTTGGGGTGAAAAAATCGATTTTCTGAATAATAGCTCATTCGAAAGAGCTCCTCGAGCTGAGTCGAATGACACCAAAATCACTGAGATTGGACGAGTATGAACCGAGATATAGGGCTCGAAATGGTCAAATTTCTGGGATGATTTTTGGGGTCAAAAATTCGATTATACAAATGATAGCTCATTCGAAAGAGCTCGACGTGCTGAGTTGAATGACACCAAAATCAGCTCGATCCGATCATTCTGAACAAAATTATGAACAATTCAATTTTCGCTTGAATAACAGTTTTGGTGTTGCTACGGAGGGTAGGTCGGCATTCAAGGCTGAGAATCAGTAAAAAGGAATAGGATTAAGTTACGAGCCCAGACCCAGCAACCGTAGACTCCCCGCGAGTCGCGTGCCGCAAAACTCCGCGCGAAGCGCGGAGTTTTGCACAAGCGACTCGCCGACGCTCCATAGGTTTAAGTTGACCATTTCGAGCCCTATATCTCGGTTCATACTCGTCCAATCTCAGTGATTTTGGTGTCATTCGACTCAGCTCGAGGAGCTCTTTCGAATGAGCTATTATTCAGAAAATCGATTTTTTCACCCCCAAAAAGTGCTTACTCCCCCCTTTGGTTTTTCAAATTTCAGGGACCTATATCTCGGTCCACAGGCATTTCCGCACCTGGAGAGTGGTACCGTTCGACTCAGCTCGCCAAGACGAATCGAATGACATATCATTTGACCCGGTTCGGTGCAGGCCCTCGACTAAACTATATCCCTATCAGGTTCAATATTACCTTGAGTTACGTTAATTTTGGTGTCATTCGCACAGCTCGACGAGTTTAACAGACTGACCATTTTTAACAAATTGAACAAAAAATTGACTAGTGGCCAAATAAGTACCCAAAGTTTGTCAACAATACCATTAACTAATTTATCGTAAAATTTGTGTAAAAAAGTATTTATACCATTTTAAACAATGAATTTGGAAGTTTATTTTTTATCCAATTTTTTAAGTTATTCCATGAAATTTTTCTCTCTATCTGCCGAAATCTTGAAACGTATATGCGTTGGTTAAATGAAGGTTTTGTTTCCAACTGGGCGACTGCTGCATCAATTTTTTCCCTGTTTCGTCGAATATATAGCTTTGCATCTCTACGCATTTTCTCTATTAGATCGGGTTTATTGGTATCTAGTGGGTAAACTTGTGATGTATATGGATTCAATCGGAAGTAAATCTAAATAAGATTAGAAATTAGGAAAGATATTTGACAAACATTGGTTGGTAACAAATCCGAAATGCAGTAATGGGTTGTCTCGGTCTCTTAAATTTATTTTAATTTTATGTTTTGAACATGACATCTGTCGCAAGCCCACTCTACCGCGAACAACTTTCATTTTAATTATATTTTTTCCACAAAATTCAAAACATATTCGAAAGAGATTTCTTTAGATAATTACAGTTCGAGGCAGATTGGCATGTGGCAGATGGTCTGATGAACGGCACAATGATCCACATCAGATCAGACACGTCTTAAACTACCTGTAGCTGAATCAATAATTGCATCAACGCTCGTTGCTAAAATAAAATAATTATTAAAAAAAAAATTTAGGGCTTATTGCCTCTTACACACACGTTAAAATTTTTTGTATGGGTAAACATAAAATTATAGCGAAAACGATGGGGCTTGTTGTCTTCCCAATTTCAAAAACATGCCTGAGAGTATCTGGTGTAAATGGCAATAATAACAACGTTTATAGCTTACTCCAAGAATATGGTTCTGGTTCAGGATCCACCTTAGACATAACTCTTCCATTGCCAACAGAAATTATGCACTGCAGGTGGTTTCTGGGCCAAAGCTGACGCGCCTCATGCAAAGCTATAGCTGTTGGATTATTCATAAGAACTCCACCGTCCTACATTGAGATAGTTTTATTGGTTTTATTTCTCTACCTGATGGACAAAGTTATCAAGCATAACCTTAAAAGTTTTAATGAATTATAAAAATCATTAAAAAGTTTCGTTACTCCTTTGAAGTAGGTGGGTGCTGCCGAGGATGCCAAAATCGCCTCCCAAAACTAAAACAAAATTTTATTTTCATAAAACACGACGGTAGAATTATTAAAAATTCAAAATATACTTTGTATTTTGTACTTCCTCGATAATGGCTACTATGTGTTGGTGGATGCTCATAGTTTCTAAAATTATATAAAGTCAAAATTTATCATAATAACATACCTAAATAAGAAAGGCATTAAAGGTTTATTATTCACTACACAAGATATTATTGCCAATTTTGGTCCACTAAATGAATCGAGAAGAGAAAAATCGAAACCAATTTCCTTTAAAATAATAAAAATTAAGATTAAATTAGTATGTACCTCTTTTAATATTTGTTCAAATAATTGTGAATTCTTTTTTGTATGTGAAATACGTCCAAAAATTCCATAATTAAACAATTTTTTAGATACTTCACTGTATGTTTGTAAGGCCTCTGCAATGCTCATCTTTTTAGCACCAATTAACGTAGCAATCACGGCGCCCGTACTGACACCCACAATTAAATCAAATAATTCGTGCATCTAAATTTTGAATATAAAATACAAAAATAAAAAACACTTTCGCATTTGTGCATTATTTGAACGCAGATTAAAATAGCTAAATTTTACTTGCAAAAATTCGGGATAAGAGCCCTTCCCTTTCCCAGAAATCCGACCTCTGGCTGACAGTACCACGTATCTACATTATTTCAAAATCAGCTAGCAGATAATGCACAAATACCTTTTTTCCACCCATCCTGGCTTCGATCGCATTTAAACATTCCAAAGCCATTACTCCTCTCGTTCCACCTTAAAACGAATTAAATGAGGAAACTGAATTTAAGAAAATGCTAATGTATATTCTAAATATTAACCTCCATCAATCGAAAGGACGCGAATTCCATGGCTTTTTATCGGCCTAATATAACCACAAAGCTCGAGACAATGCATGACAGTATCGCGAAGAGAGGCATTTTGTATTTTGTCAGACAAAAAATCAACAAGTGTTCGTCCCTAAAAAGATTCAATCCTTTCACTAGAAGCTTTGTAAATCAACATCTTTGCCAACAATTTTTAAAACAGCTTCTCTACAAGAGGGAAAGAGTGAAAGTTGGTTTTTCAAAAGAATTGCACAGTTCAATGCATCAGCGTCATCCGTCGCATTGAACAGCTGCTCAACCAGAACTTGCATTTTGATTATTTCTTCATTCCTAGTGGATTTTCTGCAAAAATTAAATAAAGAATTTTTTACTTATTAATCAACCTTTTAGTAACAGGAACAAAATCTTCCGGTTGCCCGTATAATCGATCATAAGCTGTTTTCCAATAAGAAAATAGGTTTGAATAGTATGATGATGATTCTTTATCAACTGCCTTCGATAAAGATCTCTCTAAATTGAATAGCGGAAACGGATTAAATATCCAAATAAAGCAAGTATTACCTGTACCCAAAGTAGTGTAAAGACAGGAAGAGGAAAGTGGGCAAGCCATACCTGTGCATTTTCTTAATAAAGGGATAAGCACAAGAGAAATTTTTGACATCTAACTGAAAAATCATTTAATCAAATGGACTATAAATTTTTTATTGTCGAAAAATATCTCATTGATCAACAATATTTATAATAAATCTTTTATAAAACACTTTATTTTTCCTTTGGCAAAATTCTACAGATTGTTTCTACAAGTTCATCCAATTCTTCCTCAGAAAGTCTTTCTTCGCATTCTTCGACGATCAGCTGAACTTCCAGCGCCTGTTTTGGACGGAGATTCACGATTTGTATAATCTTAAAAATAATTTTTATGTAAAAAATAAGAGAATTTATATCAGAGAATAATTTTATATACATATTGGCCATCCTACAGAATTGTGGAGATCATTTTGTATAGGTAATACAAAATCACGAAACTGAAATCAGATTTTATATAACATTTCATCTCTGATTTTATATCAAGCCTTGATTTTTATAGCAAATCAATCATCCGAATACTTGTAACAATAAAGTATTTTATTTTAGAAAATATATAAAAAATTATAAATACAAAATCCGATATCAGTCTCTTAATCAGTATTGTCAATTACATATACAAAATGATTTTCAGAAGAAAAATTTTTAAGCCCCAATTCTGCAGGATTGCCTACAAATTAATTAAAAATAACAATAAAAGAAAACCTCTGCTCCAGTGAGCTTAAACTTCTTGAGAGAGTTAATCAAATCAACAATATTTTCTCTTTTTTGTAAAGTAGCATTAGTATCATTTAAGTATTTTGATGCCTCGTAGACAATTGTGTTATGATTTTGTGAACCTCTATTATATTTTTGTTGTATTTTTGCTTGGTTAAGCAAGGAAAGCACCTCTTGGTTGCTAATTAATGTAGTTCGTGGGTCTAAGACTTCCATCTTTTGTTGGATGGTTTTTTATAAAAATAAAGTATTTTTGCTGCACATAAAATAACAATAAGATCTAAAATTAAAAGCAAGAAGCAAAAACATTAATCTTTAAAAAAAGTTTTTTTTTGAAATCTCCATCCCGAAATGTCTGTCCGGAAATGTCCACCCCGAAGTGTCTCCCGGCCCAAAAATTCGGAACGGGCCACTAGAGAGCCAGTAGCTTAGGAAGTGCAGACTATTTCCCCCGTTGTTGGAACAACGTTCCTCTTTGTTGAACAACTTCCCCTCTATTATAACAACATTTCTCAGCTGTTGGAACAACATGCTCCGTCGTTGAACAACCTTCCCCATCATATAAACAAACTTCCCATCATTGGAACAACTTAACCCGTTGTCGGAACAACTTTTTCCATTGCTGGAACAACCTGCCCCGTTAGCAGAACAACCTCATCTGTCATTGGAACAACCTTCCCCGATATTTAAACAACCTTTCCCGTCATTTGAGTAACCTCCCCCGTCATTAAAACAACCGCCCTCGGCATTGGAACAACCTTCTCAGACATTGGAACAACCTTCCACGTGGATGGAACAACCATTCTATTTACTTGGGACAACAATTTCCATTGTTTTTTCTTATAAACATTTTTAGGTTTTTAAACTATTGGCACTCTAGTGGCCCGCTCTCTAGTGGCTCGCTCTCTAATGGCTCGGCTCTCTAGTGCCCGCTCTCTATGTAGTGGCGGCACTCTAGTGGGCGCTCCGACACGGGCACAGTGATCCATTTGCACAGTAAGACAATTGCACATTGGGCATCTGCACAGTGGACAATTGCACAGTAATTTGTGGTTAAGTGCATTTGTGTTAGACTTTCTGATAAGTTTTTTAATAATAAAATGGTTTTTCTTAAACAAAAACAATTTTCCCTGTTCTATAAGCAATTTTTCCCGTTGTTGGAAAAGTTGTTCGCGGGAGACGAAAACTCGCAGAGATATAGGCTCCCGAAAATCGAAAAACAATAGAGTAAACCAAGCGGTTTTTTGGGGTAAAAAATTCGAAGATGCAAATTATAGCTCATTCGAAAGAGCTTTTCGAGTTGAGTCGGCTGACACCAAAATCATCTTGATTGGATGATTCTGAACGAAGTTATGACCTATAGGTGAATGAGCCTTGCGTTTATTTGGAGTGTTTCGCGACTAAACAGGCGTTTTGCGAATAAATGGGTAGGTCGTTTTGCGAATAAACAAGACTTTACTTTGCAATTGTCCACTGTGTAATTGTCCTCTGTGCAAAAGTCTTACTGTGCAAATGGATCACTGTGCCCAAGTCGTGTCACCCTCTAGTGACCCCAACCGCCAAAAATTCACTTTTTTGTGGCGGGACGATTTTTTACCTCTATCTTTTCTAGTCGGTTTTTTAAATGGATAAATATTTCACCCTAAAACCAAAAAGCCCACTAAAAGTCTTGGATATGTCTGTGAAATTAAAAGATAAATCTCTTAAAACCTCCTACACTACTCGATTTTTATTTGTTTTTTTCCCAGTACCAGATCTTTTTATTTTTCCTGTTATAGAAAATATTTTTCAGGATATACCTATTTACTAAAATTGTTTATTGCAAGTTCTAGAAATGTCTAAAGTATATTACGGACGTGATGTTGTAAGTTGTAAAACATTTTATTTTCTTTTAAATCCTTTTAATTTTAGATTACCGAGAGTCCTGAGGTTACCGAGAGTATTGAGTCCATCATGGTATAATAAAGGAAATTTTGAAAATACTAAATTATTTATATTTAGAAGCCGAAGGGGGGGCAGCTCCGTGTTGACCCGGAATGGATTCAGCGTTTGCCTCGACATCATGAAGCAAAGCCTTCTTATTGGATGGCATTCACGGCGGCGATGCTTGTTGGAGCTTTTGCATGGCTTCGTCGTTTCTGATTGGGATGTTGTGTAAAGAATTGAAAATTTAGGGAATTTTGGTTATACGACATATAAAGATGGAATTTAATTATATTTTAATGGTTTGGTATAAATATTTAGTTTGTTTTTCTTTAGTATTTTGATTGAAATAAGGATAGGTTAACTTATGAGGAAGGGAAAGTTTAACTGTAGCTTATTGAGGTACTTTTCGATTATTCCTACTCTTTTTTGTGGACTCGTGAAAATACTAAATTATATTTTATTTGGCATAGGTTCTGATTGTTGTAGACTCACGGCATAGACTCGTGTGAAAAAAATGCGTAAAAATAAGTCATTTAAAAATAATCACCTTTTTTGGGAATTTTGTGAGACATGACAGAAGTACATAAATTAGTCCGCAAAACAGTTTGCAAAAAAGGTCAATTTCGACCGACCAAAACCCCAAAATGTTTTTCGATTTATTCAAATAAAAAAGTGAAAAAATGAAAATTACAAATTAAAATTACATCATTTAAGTAAATCAACCACGTTCGCTAAATTATACTTCTCATTAAATAATTTCGTCTCACTGCCTGTCCAACCTTTAGGATGGTAAAGCTAACTGCAGTAGCAGCCAAACTATACGGAAGTGATGCAGTAGCGATCAAAGATGTCAATCCAAATGCTCCAGCCTGGCCAAATAGACTCTAAAAAAGGACCCGTTTTCTGTAGTTGGAAATCTTGACTTATAGGGGACTTTTTTTGGCTGGGCCGATTTCGACAAATGATATGTCATTCGAAAGAGCTCGCCGAGCTGAGTCGAATGAGGGGTGAATGGTATCGATCCGACAATCAGGGACCGAGTTACAGACCCCTGAATTTTAAAAAAGAGAAGGGGGGAGTAAGCTCAATTTGGTCAAAAATATTCATAAATGTAAATCATAGCTAATTCGAAAGAACTCCTCGAGCTGAGTCGAATGACACCAAAATCAGCTCGATTGAACAAGGTTGGACAAAGTTATGACAAAAAAACAAACAACGTAAACCTATGGGCCGTCGGCGAGGCGCTTGTGCAAAACCCCGCGCTTCGCGCGGGGTTTTGCGGCACGCGCCTCGCGGGGAGTCTACGGGCGCTGGGTCTGGGCTCGTAACATAAACCTATTCCTATCTCCCTTGCTCTTGAAGTTCCCGAGGCCTTGTAGCAGCAAAAACCGCGGAGACCATAGGTAAGGAGCTAAAAACGACACATAACTTTGTCCAAACTTGTTCAATCGAGCTGATTTTGGTGTCATTCGACTCATCTCGAGGAGTTCTTTCGAATTAGCTATAATTTACATTTTTGAATATTTTTGACCAAAATGAGCTTACTCCTCCCTTCTCTTTTTTAAAATTCAGGGGTCTGTAACTCGGTCCATCGATACCATTCACCCCTCATTCGACTCAGCTCGGCGAGCTCTTTCGAAAGACATATCATTTGTCGAAATCGGCCCAGCCAAAAAAAGTCCCCTATAAGTCAATAGTACCTCTGTAGTTTAGTCGAGGACCCATTCCAAAACTGGTCGATTTATCGATTCGCCTTGCCGAGCTGAGTCGAATGGTACCACTCCCTAATAACTTTAGATTGTTTATTTTTTATCGTTATATATTTGGTGTCATTCGACTTATTGTTAGCTCGACAAAAGTCACACCTAGAAACCGGTACCATTCGACTATGTTAGCTCACCGAGATTAATCGACGAATGACATATGATTCGACCCGTTTCTGAGTGGGTTCTCGATATCCAAGGATCTTTTAGTAATATGAAATATAGTAGTTTAAACCTGATCACTTTCCCTGAGCGAGTATCGGCACCATTTAGCAAAATGTTCACAGTTATTGTGCATAAGATTGTAGTTACCAGTTCCCAGCTGTAATATAATTAATCTTTTTTAGTCTAATTAAAGATAGGACTTTCTGCAAGGCGCGTTCCACAATGATTGTTGGAGGAAACGGCCTTCGATGATTGTCCAAAGAATTATTTACACGTGAAAGATCCACGCCAGCGACAATTAGAAATGGATCAGAACGAACCTATAAGAATAACTAAATTTATTTAAAAAATTCCATTAAATAACCGAAGCCAGACTTCGACTTAACAATTTAGCTCCAATTTCCTTTTTATTAGCACTTCCATGATTATCGGTAGAAATGTGTGCAACACAATGTGTGTCGTCAAAAATTCCAATATATACAACCCAATGCTGTTTATATAAAAATAATTTTAAATACTAAATTTTAATAAACTAACAGTGTATGATTGACGGGAAATTTCGATTAGATCACCTCTTTCCAAAAATAAAATTAATTCTGCAGCAGGCAACCAATTAGTTTTTAATTGATTTGGTTCCATATTTTCTGTAATTTGTCTGAAAAAAGTGTGTTTTGGTAAAGATTGGTTAATTACTAGCTAAAATGTTCTCACTAAAAATATTTTAATGTTTAACATTTGCTTTTACTTTTTCTCTTTAAATAGTAAATGTCAACTTAACTAGATAGTAAATAGTAATTAAAAATCGAAACTTTTTGTTGAAGATTAATTTGTTGTTGTTAATGTTTTTCCTTTAATAATTTACTCTATAAATAGTCTACATGTCTACATAAATATTGACTAAAATTTTTTTTTAAATTAAAAACAAAGCTTTTTTTTAATTTTAGCAAATTAATTGTGAAAATATTTACAAAATATGAATAATCAACCAATTAATTTAGTTGAACATTTTCACCACATCAAATTTTATGTGTCAAATGCTTTACAAGTATTTAAGAACTCTTAAAATTTTTGATTAATTTTAGGCTTCCTTTTGGTATTGTTTCCATTTTGGATTCGAACGTTTTGCGAATCGGCAATCTGAGGAATCTTCAGAAATTGCTATACGCAATGGAAAAGTTAAAATATTTTTAATTTCTTAAAAAAATATTTTTTAAGATAATTTTGGTTTTTAAAAGTGTTATTTGCCCAAAGGATCCAGAATTTATTGGTGCTGAAGTTGCAATACATGGCGATTTTGTTAAAGATATTGTAAATATTTATGAGTCCACCCTTGCAAGACCTCTCTAAATCCACCAGTATCCCCTTAATCCTGCCAAATCCCTCATTATCCCCTTTAATCCCTCTAGATCCCCACGATTAAACTTGTAAAGAAATAGAAAGTAAAAAATGGTGTTAACAAAAGTTTTTAGGTCTTCAGGGTTGACCCCGTAAATATATTACATTTAATTTTTAGTTTTTTTTGTTTTAGAGTTATTCAGTTGATAATTTGGATTTTATTTTGGAAGTAAGTTTTTAAATAAATTGATATTTAAAAGTTTTTACTTCTTTTCGGATGACAAATTTAATATTAGTTTTTGCCAGATAATATAAATTCCAAATAATTTTTTAGATTTCCTTTTTTTTAGTGTTTATCAAATAATAATTATCAAATATTACAACCAAAAACATTTTGTAACGATTCTGATGGTTCTTTATGGATTGCAAGAATTGCAGGCTCTGGTGGTTCTATTGTCCACACTTTAATACAGAATACTGATTATAACGGCCCTTTCCTTCCAGGATTTAAAATTTTACAAAATTTTGATTTTTGTTCGAAATTGTGAGGAAAAGGAATTCTTTTAAAATTAAAAAAAATTAAAAAGATCGCCAATTAAATTTGACGGTATTGACCATGTTGTGGAAGCACATCCAGAGGATTTTTTAGACAATGTTGTTAGTTGGTATGAGAAAATACTTAAAATGCGTAGATTTTGGTCTATTGATGATAAAATAGTTAAGGCAGAATTTAGTGCTTTACGTGCAATTTTAATAAAAAATGAAAATGTTGGAGAGGAAGAAAATAATAAAAATTTAGTTCAAGTAAAGAGGAATTTGTTTGGAAATTATTAATTAATTTTTTTCCTATTAGATAGCCCTTGTTTCTCCAGTAAATGTTAATGGAATAAAAAGGAGAGGGCAAGTTAAGGTGTTTTTTTGAAGAAAAAACTTTGGAAATAAATTATTTTTTAAAAGGAATTTCTTGATTTTCATGGCCAGCCAGGCATTCAACATATTGCTTTTCAAACAGATAATATAATTAAACAAGTAGAGGAATTACAGAAAAGGGGATTAGAATTTCTTAAAATTCCCTCCTCTTATTATGATTTACTTGAAGAACGTTTAAATAAAAATTTAAAAATTAAAGAAGATTTAAATAAAGTTTTTTTGAAGAAATTAAAAAGAAAAAATTTTTTAGATAAGAGAATTGGGTATTTTAATGGATTTTGATGAAAATGGTTATTTATTACAAATATTTACTAAACCAGTTCAGGATGTAAATAAATATTAATTTTTAAATTTTTTTAAATTTTATTTTTTTAAAGAGAGCAACACTTTTCTTTGAAATAATCCAAAGAAATAATTTTAATGTTTGTTTTTTATTTTTAAATATTTAATAAAAAAATAAATAATATTTTTAGGGATTTGGAGCTGGAAATTTTAAAGTAATTTTAATTTTTTAAAAAATATTTTTTATTTAATTCTAGGCATTATTTGCTGCTGTTGAAATGGAACAAAAAGAAAGGGAAGCAAATTTGGGTAAAAGTTGAAGGAAAATAAATAACTTTCTTAATTAAAAAGAGACTTTTAAATTTAATTCTTCTATTTTTTTTTAATTTCTAAAAACATTTTTGATAAATCTTCTCTTTCCCTTTTATGTATTTATCTCCTAATTATTATACCAATTCTTTTTCTTCCTTTAAATATTTTTGTGTTTTTTGTTTGTTTTATTATTTATTATAATATCCTCCCCTACCTCCTCCTCCCTCCTATTTTGGCTCGATTTCTTCAAAGCTTTTTTTATTTTTTCCTGCCATTCTCGTCTATATATTTATATTTCTTTTAAAAATGCCTTTATATTTTTGCTTTATTCTGGTCTTTAAATATTTTTTGTTTATCGATTTTATTGATAAAATTTTAATTTTTAAAAATTATTTTTTTTATTTTAAACTATTTTTGAATAACCCCTCAATAAATAATTTAACATTAAAATACTTTAAAAACATATATTTATTTAAAAGCTTTTTGAGTGTTTTTAGGTAATTTTAAGTAAAATTTGATGTGAAGAGAGTAAAAAAACCCCTTTTTTGTTAATCCTCTCTTCAAGTAGATTTTTAATGTTTTCTCGCTTTTTTTCTAGTAATCTTCAAAATATATTTTAATTAAAAAATTCTATTTAAATAAAACTAAAAGTAATTTTTTTTAATATCATGTAAATTTAAATATTTCTTCGAAAATAAGAAAAAACTACTATGTACATATTAACTTTTATCTGAAAATTTTATTTTTTCATTTACATACTATACAATTTAAATTTAAATATTTTTCATTGTTTTATTCACACAGTTTTTATCTTTTTTTTCCTGTAAAAAGTTAATTGTTTTTATTTTTCAAAATATTTTTTTGGATCATTTTTCTTTCAAAATTTTCTCATATCAATTTAATTTTTTTTTGTAAAAGCATTTCTTTTTTTTTTAACAAAAATATTCCAAATAAAATAAACAAACAATTTAACAATTTTTTCTTCCTTTTTTCAATTTAACTTTTCTAAAAATTTCTTTTTTAAATACACAAATTGGTTCCCAAATTTCTATTATTTACTTTCCAAACAATTATTTTGGGGACAATGAATGAATGGCATCGGTTTTATATTAAATAAATTTATTTTTTTTCAAAAGTTTTTCCCTTCTTTTTCAATTATTTTTGCTTTGTTTGGCTAAAATTAATTTAAATATATTTTTTTGTTAAATTAAAAATGAATTTACAATTACTTTATTTAATAATTAAAATTAAAAACAATTAAATACTTCCGAAAAATGCGACAAAAGGATTAAGGAAATAATAAAAGTATTTAAATAAATTGTTCTTTTTAAGTAAATACTTAATAATTAAAAGTTATCTTAACTGTTTTAGAATCAAAGTAGATACTTAATTATTTTGTATTTTAAATTATAAATTAAATATTTTTCAAAGCAAGTTCTGACGTTTTCTCACTTCGTTTTCCTCTTGGCAAAAATTTTTCTATTTACAAAATTTTTTTATTTATTGTTTCGACATTTTTAGGGTTGCTCTTTGTCCCCAACACATCGAGGTATTTTCAATGTCCTGATTTTTGACACCTTGGCAGTTTTTGTTTTTAAGTACTTGTATATTATCTATTTCCCCCTAGCCGGGCAACAGCATTTATTTTTTAACTTTTACAATTATACAACAAAAATTCTAACAACAATTAACAATTTGTATTATTAATATTTTGTTTTACTCATTAAATATATGCTTACATGTACATACATAGTACATATATTTTTATTTTATTTTTATAATTGTCATTTTGGCTTACAAATCCTTTGGGAGAGGATTGTGTTTCTTTTTTTCCAATTTTTTTTCTACTATCTCATCTTTCTATATAAAATATTCACTCAATTTTTGTTAAAAACAATTTATTTATTGTTTACCAACCTCATTTGGTATTTAAATAAAAATTATTTAAATAAAAACCAAAATAAATATATAACCAAACTAACAACAAAAAAATAAACTTTAAAAAATAATTTTCTAAGAAAATAAAATTATTTTCTTTCTTTCTACTTTTTTCTGTTTTCTTCCGCTTTTCCTTATTTTTCTGCGTTACTTCCTCTTTTTTATTTCTGATTTTTGCTGCTTTAACTCTAAAAATGTCCAATCAAGCATATATTTGGCTAGTAAATTTTTTTTATATATTTTATTTCTTTTTTGCCCTAAAATGTATAAATTAGCTAGTAACGTATTGATTTATACACCAAAAAAGTACATTTTTTAGGAAGGACAAATTACCAATTCTTAAATATTTAAAATAAATTTTTTGTTTAAAATTTTCATTATTTTTATTATATTTATCCAAAAAAAGTCTGAATATTTTACCGTAAATGATAGAATAATAACTCCTTTCAAATAATTACCCCCATCCTTTTAATTGCCTCCTTCTTTAACTAAGCTTTTAGGTATGAATTTAAAAATTCTATAATTTATTTTAAAGAAAATAATAATTAAAAATATTCTCATATTTTAGATAAATTTAAAAAATATTCCTTCTCCCAAATAAAAGCTAAATTTATTAATTTTTTTTTACTTTTCCCCGAGGTATTCATTTACTTTAGGGAAATATTTATTCTGTTAAAAAATAAATACTATTTTTTTATTTTATTTTTAATTCCCAAATTAATCAGAAATAATTAAAATATATTTTTAAGGAAATACTTTATTTTTTATTAAAATCATTTTTATAATTAAAAAAATAAATTCTACCACATAAAACAACAAAAATACTAAATTTATAAAAACAATCAAAATTCTTACCAACGTCCTTCAACAGAGCAAAAGTGCGTGTTAAGTTCATTTTTATTAAAAACACGACAGATGTTTTTTTAATTAAATAGACAATTAATGTAAAAATAAACAAATCACGCCAAAATATATTTTTAATATTTTTATTTTTAAATAAAGAAATATTCAATTTTTAATTAAATAAATAGGCTCTGTAATCTCTGAAACAACAACAAATAATAATAAACAAAAAATAGAAATCCCTTCATCGGCTTCAAATTCTGTCGAACAAAATCCTTCAGAATCCCTTCAAACATTTAATGAGGTAAAATAATATTTAAGAATATATTTTAGTTAACACATCGGAGGTGGGTAGGAACGGGCAGAGGTGTCGGAAGCAGGGGACGAGCTGAGTCAGATTCTTGAATACAATAAATTGTTCTGTATTTAATTAATATTCTTCGAGATATACATATTTCCTTATTAATTTCAAAATTTTCAAAATTAAACTAAATTAAAAATTTTTTAATTTTTATCAAAGTAGGAGGACCACCATCTCTGCTGTTCTGATTATTTTAGTGAATTAGCAGAATTTGATAAGTCAATGAATTTGTGAATGGCTTTTGAAGTGCCAGAGGGTGTTATTCAATTAAATGTTGGGGGGACTTGTTACTTAACTACTGTAGAGACTTTAAAAAGAGATCAGTGTTCTTTACTTGCACAATTATTAACAGTTGATGGAATGGAGGCTAATTCTAAAGTAGGGGGGAATTACACTAAAGAGATTACCTAAATTTAACAAAAAAGGTTGCCAAAAGAATGAGTAATGGAGCTGTATTTATTGACAGAGATGGAGAATTATTTGCTTATATTCTCGATTTTCTTCGTAGTGGAAAACTTTTATTGCCAGAAAATTTTCGTGAATTGGCACGTCTTAAAGAGGAGGTAAATAAATAATAATAATTAAAAAATAATTTAATTAAAAAAAGGTTCAATTTTATCAATTGGAAGAGTTAATGCAACAATTAATTCCTTATTATAATTTAAAATATCCAACAAGAACTTCATCTACAAATATAAATAACACTACAAATTCTGCTGCAGCAGCTGTGGCTGTAGCTAGAACAAATGCTCTTTATGAGACAGGTAAAAAAAGAAAAGAGATAGATAAAAATATTTAAAAAAATAAAAAAAGGTGGATTTATAACACTTGGTTATAGAGGAACTTTTGCTTTTGGTAGAGATGGACAGGCAGATGTTAAATTTAGAAAATTACATCGAATATTAGTTTGTGGTAAAGCACAACTTTGTAGAGAAGTTTTTGGTGATACTCTAAATGAAAGTAGAGATCCAGATAGGGAAGGGGCTGAAAGATATACAGCAAGACTTTATTTAAAACATCAATGTTTAGAAAGAGTTTTTCTTTTCCTTCTTAAACTAAACAAAATTAATTAATTTAAAGGCTTGTGATAATTTATCTGAAAAAGGTTTCCGTTTAATTACTGCTTGTTCTAGCGGGGCAAATGGACTTGTATTAACAGCAAGTAATCAACAATCACCTGCAAATAATAGCCAGGTTAAAAAATAATCTCGAAAAAATCCAAAAAAATTCCCCTAGGTCCCTTTTCAGCGTGAAAGTGGAGATATGGAAGAACAACGTTGGGCACATTATACAGAATATGTATTTTATAGAGAACCACAATTTGGGTTATTTACAAGTCCAGATATTAGTCCAAGAATTTAAAATGAATATTTACAAATTTAATTTTAACTTTAATTAATTAGTGTTTATGTATAAATATATTTTTGATTGAATAAATTTTTAGTTAAAAAAATAAAAATAAAAATTACTATTTCCTAAAAAATTATTTTTCCTTTTTTTTTTCAAAATCAGACATGTTTGTATTTAGTAAATAATGCATGAAGAATACGTAGTCTATAAAAATTGAAATAATTTTTTTTTAATTAAAGAATTTTTTACGTGCTCTTTAAATCTCCATTAACAATATCTGCAGGTCTACATTTTGGTTTTTGCATTCCAGCTTCTTCCATCAGAAAAAACGCAAATTGAACATTTTTTAATTTTTCTTCATTATTATTTACCTTTAATTAAATTAATTTATTTTTTTTTAACTTTAAATTTAAAAAACTTGTAAATTAAATTTATATAAAGGAACAAAATATCCATCAAGAAGCCCCATAAGTAAAATAAGAAAAACGCCGTCTTGAAATTGTGTTTCTAAGTCAGTTACTTCCAAATTAATTTTATTTAAATGTTTGTTGCAAAAAGTTATTAAAGAACCTTTAAAAATTAAAAATTAAAATAAATATTTAGTAGAAGTAAAGCAGCTGGGATATAGCTATTTATCTTCTTCAGCTACATAGTACAAAAGGCTATTCGACTGTTGGGAGCGAACCAGCATCTTCAGTAGACCGGACTGTGTTATCAATTACACCACGCCGCCTACTGCAATGCCTTAGGAAATAAATAGCTACAAAAATCTCAAACAAAAATCTCAATCCCGCCCAATCCTGTCCCTAATAAATAGTTCAATAAATTAAAAACCCCTCAACTTTTAACATGTTGTAATTTATCAGGTCCGTGATCAAAAAGTGTATCAAAAGCATCCCTTTCCCCTTTAGGCGCTAATTCTGTTTGTTTTGTAGTTAATTGTTCTGTTATTATATTTTTATTTATTTGCTTTCCATTCCTTGTATATATCAAAACTTGAACATTTACATTTGTTGGGAAACGTATAGGTGCTCGAAAATGTAAAGCCATTGAAATTAATAAATGTAAAATAGCAACAATATCCTTTAAATTAATATTACCATTTTTTATTTAAAATTTCTAGTTAATTAAAATTTTAAGAGAATTGAAAGGTGCTAAAAGTGCTAACCTTAAATTGTCAATTTTATATTTCAAAATTTATGATAATTTAAATTTCGTTGTTTTCAGTTTTCATGTCAGAGTAAAGCAGAGCTGTTCTCTACATTCTATTCCCACATTATATTAAATCAGAATTAAGAAAATAATTTGGATTTTGGTTAACTAAAAATCCTTCCTAACAAGAAATCCTTCCTTAAAAATTGGGGATTTTTTTAAAAAACCTTTGAATGAATTAATTCTGCAGTCCATTTTGGTTGTTGTTGTCCTCTATTTAATTGTTGTTGTTGATGTATATTTTGATTTTCTTGTTGGTATTGTTGATCATTTAATAATTTCCCTAAAGCATCCACAATAATTCGCAATTTTTGTCTTTGGCCTTCTTCACTTTGAGAAACTTCTGGAACTTCAATCTAAACATAATTACTCTTCAAATATTCCTCTCTCTCCCTCAAAAACCTTAATTTGTGCCAATTTTTCAACTAATTTTTGGATAACTTGTCCATCAAAAATATCTTCCTGTAAATTTCTAACAACAATTCTATCCTGTGCCAATTCTTCATTTAACCAATAAATTAACAAATAATGGATCTCTTTAACTTTTGGATCATCTCTAGATTCGATTGTTAATGTTCGAATACTTTGACCTTTTAATTTAATTAATTTATTTAATTTTTTAATTTTCCAAACCATCTTCTAAATTTCTCAAATCTGGTTGGGGCAAAATTAAACAAGAATCAATTGCATCCTTCCCCAATTTCTCAACTTGTTCAACTTCATCTTCTTTTTCTTCTTTTGGAATTTCTTCTTGAGGGGGAGATTGCTGCTTTTTATTATTTAAATTATTATTTTTCTTTGTTAATGTTCCAAATTTGGAAAGAATTGAATTTTCATCTTTTTTGTTGCTACTATTACGGCTATTTATTGTGTTATCATCATAATATTCTGATGGCATTTTTTTTAATTAAAAAATTATTTTAAAAAAATAATATTTATTTAATCTCAAATATATTGATTTTAACTAAAAATATATATACAGCCAGCTACTAACTAGAAACACCACAACAGATGACTCACATTTAGTAAAGGAAAAGCAAGGAAGTATCCCCTCAAAGGTTTGTTTTTACACAAAACAGTTGCTATAATTATTTTAATATATTTTAATAAAAATATTTTAATAAATAAAAAAATATTTAAAAGGAAAAAAATAAATAAAAATACAAAATTTAATTATTTTCTGATAATTTTTTAAATAAACAAATAAAAATATATTGAGCAAACATTGAATGAAATATACTCTTTTATTTTACTAAATACAACACTAACTTTTGTTAATTTTATCGAATATATTTTTTGATTAAATATTTATTATATATATTAATTAAAATATTTAGTAGTAAATTAAATATAAAAATTATATAATTTTTAATTTATGTAAAATGTCAACAACAACAAATTCTTCATTTCAAAATTCAATAAAATATTTTGGTAAATTTAAAGGAGAAGATGTTTTAGAATGTCAATTAATATCCAAAACCGGCGTTTGTATAAAAATATTAAATTATGGGGCAATAATTCGTGATTGGCAAATTCCGATGTTAAATGGAAATAAACGTTGTGTAGTTCTGGGATTTGATAATATTGAAGATTATATTGAATATAGTCCTTTCTTTGGGGCTATTGTTGGGAGAGTTGCTAATAGAATTGGAGGGGCTAAGTTTTTGAAAAAAATATTTTTAAAAATTATTTTTTGTTTAATTTAGATTTGTTTTGGAAGGAAAGGAATATTTATTAGATAAAAATGAGGGGGTAAATCATTTACATGGAGGCAAAACAACATTTGGAAAGAGAGTAAACATATTAAATTTAGAAATAAAATTTAATTTTTAAAATTAAAGTTGTGGAAGATGACACAAATTTCAGAAAGTTCTGTTCAATTAAATATTTTTAGTTCTGAGGAGGAAAGTGGATATCCAGGGAATCTAAATGTTAAAGTAATTTACAGATTGGTGGATAATTTACTTGAAATTGTAAGTAAATAAAAAGGGGGGAATATTTTGGAATTAATTAGGAGGGGAATTAATTTAAAGGTTCATGATTAAGACTGGAATTTGAATTAGAAATCAAACATTTGGAAAGAATCTTTTAACATTAATTATTAATTTATTTATTATTTATCACCAATTTATAATTAAAATAATTAACAACACAATAATTTATTCTCTTTATTTTCCTCTCCCTCTCTCACTCTTTTCTTATTTATTTACAATCCTTTATTCTCTTTATATTCTTTGCTAAGATTGATATTGTCCAAATTCTATAAAAAATAAAAATTTAAATTTAATTAATTTATACAAACTTCATATAAATCATCTTTCCCGTTCTTATCCCCCACAACTTCTCCATTTTTCTCCTTCTTTCCACCATCATCTACTCCTTCTATATCTTCCAATACATCAAGTGTATATTCTTCTTCCTTTCCATTATTATCCCTTTCAGATTCTTGTGTCAATTTAACATCCTCTCCTCCTTCTTCTAATTCTTCTTCTTTCTTTTTAATTTTCGATGTTGAGGATGACGAATTTTCTCCATTATTATTTTCTTGAATTTTTTCCAAAAATGCAAGAGAATATTTTTTATTTTCTTCCTTTTCTTTCAATTTTTTTAATTTCTTCATTTCCGCTTCTTTTCGTTGTTTTTCCAAAAATTCTTCATCTAGACCCAGATCATCCAAAGACATTAAAGAATAATAATTACAAACTTTCTCTTCTTCTTTTTTAACATCCCCCTTCTCCTCTCCTTTATTCTTTTCTTTCTCTTTAATTTGATTATCTTCTTCTGACAACTTTTTTGGATTTATTGTTATTTTACAATTTGGACATTTTTGTTGTTGATTTTCTTTTTCTTTTGGTGGTGGAGGCTTATTTAATTGAATTTTTGGTTTGATTGGGGTTTGTCGGTGATGTTGTCGATGTTTTTTGTTTTTACTACTCTTTGATTCTTAATTAAGTAATAATTAGAAAAGCAATTAAAAATAAATTACCTTTCCTACTTTTTGCTTTACATACTTTCGATTCCCGTTTCGATTTCTGAAAAATATTAAATTAATTAAAATTAAAATATTCTCTCCCAACTTTACCTTCTTTTTATTTTTGCAACACAAAATTGACAACAAAGAGCCAAAGCCAAAAATAATTACAAAGAAAAAAGTTGTAGAGCACGTAGGGAGAAAAGAAGAAGCAATCAAGCTCATTCTTGATACTAAGGATATACAAAAAAGGGGATTACTAGTTAATTCCAACTTAAATAGTATTCTAATTTAATTGCGAAAATATTTTTTCCAAAAGACAATTATTTTTATTAATTTTTTCAAATTTTATTTTTTTTAAATAACCTTTTAAAAATAACTTTCCATTTTTAAATATTAATTTTTGTAACGAAAATTTTTCAATTTTTATTTTATAGGAATTCGAAGCTAGCACAGATACTTTAACTCCTCTAAATTTAGTACAACATAATTATTTTAATTTGGCTGGATGTGGGGATATAAGTAATCATTGGTTGAAATTAAATTCTGATTTTGTATATTTTTGTTTTTTATTTTTTTAAATTTTTCTTTAAAAAGTATACTCCAACAAATAATCAAATGATTCCGACTGGAGAAATAATTAATATTGACAATACTTTATTTGATTTCCGAAATGGAAAATTATTAAATAAAAATAGTCAACAACCTTTAGAATTAGACAATAATTTTATTTTAAATAACAAAAATTCTTCAGAGCCTGTAGCTATTCTTAAAAGTCCAGATAATTTATTAACATTAAAATTATGGACAGACCAACCAGCCTTACAAGTTTACACGGCTGGAAAACTTGATTTGCCATCAAAAGTTAAAATTTAAAATAATTTTTTCAAAAATATTTTTAGATAAAAGGATTAAATAATCAAGTATACCCTCCATTTGGGGGGATTTGTTTAGAAGATCAACAATTTCCAGATGCTGTTAATCATTCAAAAGTGTTTCCATCAATAATCATTTCACCTACAAATCCATACAAACATTTATGTAAAATAGAGATTGCTTGAGATTAATTTTAAATTTATTTAAATAAATTATTAACTTATATTTATACTACATACAAATATATTTTTAAAAATCTGTTAATAAAAAATATTTTTGTTAAAACAATTTTTAAATATTTCTTGAAAGGTCAGGTGTTAAGTACTAGAGAAGGTTTTTATCAAAAAATATGTAAGAGTATATGAACATAGTTCACAAATCTTTTCTTAAGATTAGAACGCCTACGCCTGATCCATTTATCCATTTATTTATTTATTCTTTTATTTTATTCCAATATATAAAATTCATAAATTTTTAGGTATTTTATTTAAATTTTAAAATAAAAAAATGGCCCCAATATTTCGGAGCCTTTCAGTGTCTAGCCTGTCCTCGTACAGGCCACCACCAACAATTTCAAAAACTTATTCAATTAAAAGTTTGGACGATGTAAGTGGATCACCAAAAATTCAATATATTTATTATTATCCATATTATCGTTCTTATTATCCTTCTTATCGATATAATAGTGTTAGGGTAAGTTTTTTTAAGAATTAATTTAAACTAAAAATATTTTTAGACATATGTTAATTTTTATAATAGACATTATTCTAATTGGCCAGAACATCATTTTAAGTAAAAATTAAATAAAAATATTTTAAAAAATAATTATTTCTTTTTTAAAGTTATCCATTCAGTAATTATAAACCTCTTTCTTTTTATGGCAGTTACACTTATGCCCCTTATAAAAGCTACAAGTAAATTTTTATTTAACATAAATTAAAAAATTTTTGGGGAAATTTTGGTTGTCTTTAATAAATTAAAAATATTTTTAAATTTTAATCAAAATTAACTTTCTTTATTTAATAATTTTCATTAAAGGGAGGCTTTTTATCAATGTTAAAAATTAATTTTTAGAAATCCATCAGGTTATTATTATGGTTGGTATAATGGACCTTTAGATTATTAAATATGTATATCAGAGTGATGATTAAATGGGAAAAGGGGAGAATGAACAAAATGATTAAAAACTAATAAATGATAATTTTTTAAAGAAATTAATTAAAATTTATGTGGATTTTTTATAAATAAATTTAATTAAAAATGGTTTTTATTTATTTTATTAAAATAATTTTAGTTAATTTTTATTTTATTTATATTTTTTAAATAATTATTTAGAGATTAACAATTCTTTTGTTTAATTTTGATTGTTTTTTGGAAGTCAATTCACTCATTGAATAATTTTTTGGATCAATTTCCCGCACAAATTCATTCAAGTAAATAATTAGGTGTGAATAGATAGAATACATAAAAACAATAGAAACCACAAAATAATAATAAGAAAAATAAAATTTTAAACAAAAAGAAATCAAATATTTGAATTACTATATTTATATGTATAAATATATTTTTTTGTATTTGGATTAGAATAAAATAATCGTCCTAACAATTAACGGATAAAATATTCTTTTTAAAATAATAACTAAAAAAATATAAATAGAAAGAGATTAGGTAATTTTAGAAAAAAATTAAACAAAAATATATAACTTGCTGTCCAATAAAAAAGTAAATTACGAACTAGTATACTAGTATGTATAACTGAAAAAATAATTGTTGGAAAAAATGCTTTTGA